TGCTTGGGCAGAAGCCAAGGATATGTTATTGGAGGCGATGGTATTGCAGATGAGGGGTTGTTTTGAGACGGAGGGGTCTTGATTGGTTGTAAGTCGGAACCTGGAGTAGACATACGGACGCTACAGTGAACATGGTGGTGGAGCAAAACAATGTTTCCGTATAAGCTTCCCAGTATCTTTATTTGAGCTTGAACTGAATGTTGGACACAACAGGGCGTCTCCTGAGGGCCAAACTGTCTAAAATGAAAGCCCTACAACCCACAAGAAACTTCATGTACTGATATCGATAGTCGTATGATTGTGCTTCCAACACCATAATTTCGTCCAGACATGCCGGAATGTTACCTCCTACAAATCCTACAATTCGGACAAGAAGGACGACTCTCGGACATAGATTACATTTTATCTATCTCAGTGTGCATGAGCAAATTGTAGAAAAGACATCACGCTCGTATCGTGGAAAGCTTGGCCTTAATAGAAGAAGTGGTGCGAGCTTAATATCATTGCAGCCCATCTCGGCTAGATTCCCACTAGGCTACCTCAGATTGAAGCATTTCGTGTCAGACGGGCCGTGATGAACGTTGCCCAGATGTAATTCGTAGATACGAGTGGTACGATTTCGGTTAGGCAGCCTTGCGTAGGGGCTACTCAACATTAGAACAGTGGTTTGCTGCTGCTGCACCTTGAGATATAGCCACAAGTACTACTCTGAACGACTTGAGCTCAATACCACGAGAAGAGAGTGGTCCCATCTACCCAGCTGCAAATCTGATGAAATCACACGGTCTGCGAGTATATTGATATATCAAAACAGAAGACGTCGAATTAAGATTGTTAGTCGCAATCAGCGGGTCAAGTATACGTGCAGGGTTGAAATACTCGAAGAAAAACTTGGTCCAATCATTAAGATGGAAAGTGAACAAAAACCGGTGCGAATACGAAGCAATAGAGTGGGCCGAGACAAGTCGGTCGTAGCTCTAGCCAGCCATCTCTCTACACCTTCACCAAGCGAGTCTAGATTGGAGTAAGCATGTTTCAACGCACAAGAGTGGGTCCACCACTCGGGATTGAGATCACCTAGCCGTCCCGCCAAATAAGGCCAAACTACCGAACCTTGTGAAGAGAGAAGACATCTAAATTTAAAAGCTTGGGAGAGCTTATGATGTTGATAAAAATGATTCATTATACACAAAGTGCTCAATGTCCCTTTGCGAACAAGGTTTGTATCATGGAGGGCTGGTATGCGGAGAAACTAAAGTAAATGTTGGTAGTTCAACAATCATTTAAGAGGCTGTAAGTGAAACGCCCCCCCGGCATACTAGGATTGCAGAGTTGTACTTGCAGATTCCAACGTATTTCAGGCGGCTACGATACTTGTTTCGGCACCGACGCGTTAGTAGCGCGGGATTTTTCCAGCGGTCGAAGAATAGCGTTCACGACGGACTACCACGGCAGTGAAGAAAACACTAGTATGTGTAGGTACATTGTCAGATGATGCAACGCGGGTGACGATATACTGGGGTTGTGCTGACCCCCGCACCGAACCCCGGGCCGCTGCCTTGGCGGATGCGACCTCAGAGCGAGCTTTTCGAGAGCTGGTAAACTGCCTTTGCAGTGCAGGAGATACTCAAAGAATTAATGGCATTGCCACTCTATATCTTGTTCGATATTAAGGTACGTAGGGTTCCTGCATCGACGTGCGGCCAATCCCGCACCCCCGTTGCGCCTAGAAGGATCAGTTTCATCTATTTTGCTAGGTCCTCGTGACAACGCTCTCCCCACTCTTGCGTCCATTGCATATCAGATAGGATCATCTCCCATATGGCTTTGCTTTCAACTACCGGGACTTTGCATCTGTGCTGTCCATCTGCTTACCCTCCAATACTTCCAAGAGAGAGCTACTGCTCTGAAGGGTATCACAGTCCGATCCGTCCTCTTCCACCGCGACTGAGAAACAGGAAAATCGGGAACGCTTCCGGTCCTTGGAACATTGAACAACCAGGAACATGACTCTAGAAGCTTGCAAAACAGCTAGACGTGAAGAGCAGATCGTCCCCGGCCCACGTGTGAGGTACTGGAATCCTGCCGAAACAGGAAAAAACATGGAAGCCATCATGTCAGCACGGTCGTAGAATTGTGGGGTATGTTTCTGGAACTTGAGCGCATTCAGAACAACGCCCGGTAGTCGGGAGAACACGACGGCAGATATCCAGGATATTACCTGTTGTTTCCCAGGCCGTTGTTCGAGCGGAGACTAATTCGCCGATGCAGGTAATACAAGTGGGTTAGCCACGCGACACATGATTGGCGATTCATATTAAATTCTCCGCCCAGGGCCTGCTCACATGAGTAGTTGGTCCCCCCATGAGACTGGGGATACAACTTGTTCGAGCGGTCGCTTCTGGAGACGCGTCGGAATCTAGGGAAGCATCGCGACTGATGGAGGACTGAATTATATGAGGACCCACTGAAGCTTTCCCCACCGTCTAAAGTCATGATCCTAGACCATGTGGAGTCGTGAAGGCAACTATGGAGAAGTACAAAAGGTCGAGGATACGCACAGGGAAAACAGCACGCATCACAACAGCCAATCTTTCCAACCCAATCAACCGTCAACCATAAACCGCCCATCATGAAGGTTGTATCATTCATTCTCAGTGCTCTAGCCTCCCTCACGGCCGCTCAGCAAGCCACCCTCTGCAAGGACTTTGAGTACTACTCCAGCAACGGCTACGAGCTCAACAACAACATCTGGGGCCGCAGCTCAGCCACCTCTGGATCTCAATGCACCTACGTCAACAGCGTGAGCCAGACTGGTGCCAAGTGGACCTCCAACTGGCAGTGGCAAGGTGGCCGTGACAACGTCAAGAGCTACGTCTACTCTGGCCGTCAAATCACCAAGAAGCCCGTCAGCCAGTACAGCAACCTCGAGACCGAGGCCTACTGGGTCTACGACACCTCCAACATCCGCTGCAATGTTGCCTACGATCTCTTCACCTCTGCCAACGTCAACCACCCCACCAGCAGCGGTGACTACGAGCTCATGGTCTGGTACGTTTTACACCATCATCCAACCTTCTAGCTCTTCACTATCACATATACTAACGTTTGAGGATTATAGGCTCGGCAGGTACGATGTGTACCCCATTGGATCCTCGCAAGGGATGGTCAACGTCGCTGGCCGCCAATGGGAACTCTTCTACGGCCTCAACGGCAACATGAAGGTCTACAGCTTCGTTACTCCTTCGGGCCCCATCTACAACTTCAAGGCCAGCATGAAGGACTTCTTCCAGTACCTCGCCAACAACAAGGGTTTCCCCATCAGCAGCCAGAACCTCATTAGTAAGTTTTTTTTAAAAGTGGTGATGATGATGATGCAGAAGATGCTGACAGCCATGATAGCCTACCAGTTCGGTACCGAGGCCTTCACTGGTGGCCCCGCCAAGTTCACCGTCAACCAGTGGTCCGCCAACGCTTATTAAATCAGAAACGAACAACACCAACCAAGGTCTTTTTATTTCCCGCACGGAAATTCCACCCCTTTTTTGGTTGAAATTATTCTGATCGAAGAGACACACAAACTAAACAAACTAAAACAAAGTTTATACGAGCGGTAACGATGGAAACGGTGTACATATTCGAGATGTCTTGCGATTTTTTTTCTTCTTCTTCTTCAAAATTATTCAGCTGTATATATCTAGCCTTACCTTCTTCGAAACGCTCAAATTAACAAAGTCCAACGACTGCGGCAACGTTTCTCGCCTTGTACTATTCCTACTACCATGCAAGATATTGTACCACAACCACCCACCGTTGACCCCCCCCTCCCCCCTTTCCCAGCCCCCCAGCCCCATCAGCCACATACACACACACACACACACACACACACAACAAAAAACCTCCGAACATCCGTCACATCCTTCGCCCTCCGACTTCCAATCCTCTACAAAATATGCGCACCGCCCATCCCATTCGTCCCACCCCCCCTTGCCCATAAATCTCGCTTATCCCAGTGCCAAAAGCCACGGCAGCCCCGCTATTGGCTCCAACGCACACGGGGGTACGTGCGCCCCCCTCCGACGCTACACTTACGAGTGCCGAACCAGGCGAGCTTGCGAGATGCCGGGCTGGCGTATGTGTGGATGGAGCCGGTGAATTGGGGCTGAAAGTAGATATGCTGGGCTGGGATTTGTTGGCGGATGGAGAGGTTGGGAAGGATGATGTGTTTCAAGTTATCCCGTAGACCCCCTTTTTGTGTGTCGGTTGTTTGGCTGTTTTTGGGATGGGGGTGGTTGATTGGGGAGTTGTGTGTGGTTGAACTGGCAGTGGGTTGGATGGTTGTAGACGGGAAGGAAAAGGGAAAAAAAAGGAGAGGGTAGGGATGTGTTGTGTGTGTGTGTGGTATTTACGAGTGTAGGTATCAAGATTCTTGTTTTTCTACATTGCTACTATCCGTTTCTGTTCCTTCTTTCAACTTACTATTCCTCTTTCCTCTTTCCCTTGTTTCTCTTTCTAGAATAGATCTAGACGTCAGATCACTCCCTTGCATTTGGCATCTAAACAAGACTCTTTCCTCTTTTGCTTTTTTTCCATTCTGTCATCTTCAGCACCTCGTGGTTTTCTCTGCTTTGTCTCCTCACGCGGACGGGGCACATGAAGAAGTTGCGACAACAGGTGACCGCGAGGAAACAAGGCTAGCAACAAAGACGTCACTCGGGACTTTTTTCTTACATTTGTACTATTGTTTGTACAACACGAAGGACACTCGAATATATCCCTCTTCTACTATTCGGCAAAACAAACGATTTCGGACTGCAAAGGACAAACTCGGCTGGCTGCACTTTGCTTGTCACACGTTCCACGAGCGCAAACAACAACGATTTCTTGACTCCAACCATCTCGCTGGCACATTCATATTTCCGACTCCCGACCGGGACAAAAGGAAGGAAAAAGAAGGCGGACTCTAACAACTCACATCCACACACTCCAAACCACCAACCATGCTCCTCCTACCAACCCTCCTCCTAACCACCACCACCACCACCACAACCGCCCTCCCCATCTCAAACTCCTGCACCCCAACCAACCTCCTCCAAAACCCCTCCTTCGAATCCAACCCGCAGGACCTGTCCCCCTGGCTCTCCCTAGCCACCGGCTCCTTCTCCTCACGCAGTCTCACACGCGACAACCCCGGGGGCCACAACAGCGCAACCGCGTACCTCGCCTCATGCAACAGCAGTGCAGACATCTTATCTACGCTTACGCTGTCGCAGTCGTATATTGAGGTGGAGGTTGGAAAGGCGGTGGAGTGTTATGCGTGGGTTAGGGCGGCAAGGGGAGGCAAGGCGAAGGCGAGGGTTGAGGTTTTTCTTGATGGGGGGAGTTGTGGGGGTGGGGTTGAGGTCGGGGAGGGAGAGGAGGAGTGGGTGAGGATTGGGGGGAGGGTGGTTGTGCAGGATGTGGGGGCGGGTGGTGTGGGACATACGGTTGCGGTTACGGTACAGGGGTATGGGGCTGAGGGGGATGGAGGATGGAGTGTTGCGATTGATGATGTTGGGGTTGTTGTTGGATGTTGATGTTTTTTTTTTGTTTTCGTCAGAAAGGCTGGGAGTATGGATATCAGGGACGGGGGCCATAAGAGAAGAGAGAAAGGCGTATGGCGCCAAGGATACAGAGGATCAAGTGATACTAATCAGATAGTAATAGACAGACAGCACATGGTATGTATACCATCCTAATAGATATTTCTTGTACCCTTCATTGGGATTTCAACTTCCAGGCGAAACCTTGACATCAGCATAACTCCATAAATGTTGTAGGCGATTGTTGCGTGTGGACTTAATGTTGCTTTGGGTATCTTTTTTTTTCAAAATCAGCATCCCCGGCTGAAAGGGTATGAAGACAGTAAAGCCTATTTTAGGCAGGCAGTCTAGAAATCTATTCGTAAATAATCGTGACAAAAAGACACATGATTGTAAGGCCCCCTTGGTAAGTATAGAATAAATGTGTAACGCCATCGACAAAGCCATGCTCCTCTCTAACCAACAAAGAGCGTTCCCAGTATGTGAGGTGATATCCCAAACGAGGGTGGCATGCTTCGTACGCGATCGTATTGGACGAGGTAGCGGACGTGGTATTCAAAGTCTAGTTCGCGCCCGTCATCCGCAAATGCAAACTGGTATAGGAAATAGCGCTTAGAAAGCACCATATTCTTGATTTGGCGGGAGGTCATAGTTTTCCTCATGGAGACCTTTGAGCGCCTCCTCACCATCTTTGGTAAGGTCCGGCTTTCCGATAGGCGTAACGGCTCCGGTGAAGAATCGCGGCTGCCACTCCTTGTCGGCTGCCTTGCGCTCCGCAGCCTTTTGCCGTTGCTTCTCTTCAATCTCGGTCTTTAGGGTGGTAGCCACGCTATATTGCCTGCCTACTATGGCGTTTGTGACACCCTCCCAGAATTTGAGAGACTCATTGGGAAGTTGCTTCTCAATCGGCGGTACAATCTTGGCGACGGGGTCGAGTGGGTTGAGGTCGATGATGAGGTTCTTCTCCTACTCAAGTGTTAAGAGCCGGCAGCCAAATCCCTATTCAGTGTACTTACGGAGACCTTGGAAAAGGGCTTACTTCCGAGAGTGTAGTAAACCTTGTCTTGCCAGCTGCCCTCTATCCGGCCAAGAACGTCTTTGTCTGAAACATCCTTGATCTTTGTTATGGTGTCGTTATTTGGGTCATACTTGAAGATGACCCCCATGACCTTATTTTGGGACCGACCGAGCCAGCCTTCTTCCTGGTACTCTAGGATGACCTTCAATCCAGTCTTTGGGCAGGTGATGAAGCAGCTGTCAGCGACGGAGACGTTCAAGGAGCCTGTCCGTCCGGTCAGTCGGTTGGCGCCAATTCTAGCAGCGAGCACATACCTCGCAGGATACCTCCCAGGTAAGCTGCTGGGTGGGTGAGCTGGTATTCCTCGTTGTCGCGGTTCTTCAGGGTGATGAAGATCCCCAGGTTGTGAGCACCAGCCGCAACACGCACGCTCGTACCAGTAAACTTTGCGCTTATCTGATCATATCCTCGTGCGCTAATTCCCTTTTCCGGGCAATCGACGTAGAAAGCCGAAACCGGGGGGTGATGTGATGTCTGTTCGGTAAGGTAGGAGACGGTCACCTTCTTACCACTGCCTTTGGTGCTACTGGCAGCGCTTGTGGGAGCCGAGTTGGGCGTCTTGAGTGTGGGATGTGTATCCTCGATTTTCCAGTTACACTGCAAGGGTTAGCAAGCGGCTTCATCCGAAGCTATTCCAGCCACATACCCTAAAGAACTCGCCCAAGGTCGAGTTGTAGGGCTTGCATGGCTTGCCCTTGACGTATTTCTGCGCCAGTGTCAGCCATGTCGGCGGGATTTGTAGTTGCATCATACCAAGTCCTTGGTGAACCAGAAGCGCAGGCATCCCAGCATGCGGCCGAGATCGTCATCTGAGTCTCCGATGCTGCACGAGTCAGTGGTTTCTCTTGGTGGGAGCATGCAAGCTGCACTGACCTGATGAATGTGTCGGGCCTGTCCAAGTAGTGCCAGTACTCTGTTATCCCATCAGATCTTGTATATCGTGACTAAGTATCCAGTCTACATACCCAAGTTTGGTCGGGGCTCGAGGAGTTGTGCGGGAAGAGAGAATCGGACGGCAGCGAGGTCGGAGACGCCAATGAACCTACAAGCAGCAGACAGTCAGCTTTCTGAGGGATCACAGTGGCTAAGCGGTGCAACGTTACCTCCTCAATATACCCAAGAACGTCTTGAACTTGGAACTATCATCGGGAGCCTTTTCTGCGGCGGCGTTTGAAGGAGTAGGCGCCCGGGAATTGTCGCCAGAGTTGAGGGTAGACGCGGGTGCCGAGGCCGACTGGGCCTTCTCAGGGGCGAGGTCCGCCATGGCAGTTTGGCGTGGATATGTATATGTGGTCGTCAAGATGAGTGGTGTCGGGTGGGGATAGAGGCCAGAGCAGTATTGCGGAGAAGGGTCGGGATGTGGTTGGGGGTTTGGTGTTGAGGCGGTGCGCTTTTGCAATGTTCTTAGTGTTAGCGCGCGCGCGGAGGAACTGACTGACGTAGCGCAGCCGATAGCCTTGAACCTTGCTGCAGCGGGGTAGGGGCCTAGCCACCCGTGGAGAAGACGCCACTTGCCCTTGGTGCACTACTCTTGCACCCTCACACCCTCTCTACACACTCGTGCGTATACAGACATACTCTACACTACAACACTCATCATCATCATCACCACCATCATGCTCGCATACCCGGCCTGAACAAGCGCTTTGGTCACACGGTTGCCGGTCCGCTTTGCAGCGCTTGGCGCGCCGTTATCGTCCATCATGCGGTCTGCGGCAAGACGAAACATGCAATAGGGTCATGCACTGTCAGATCGTGCACCCCTTGATTGGATCTACACTCGCCGTCCACCGCCCCCTACCATGTTTCACCGCACTGTGGCGTCTTCAGAGTTCCATGAGGCGTCTGAGGGCTCGCCACACACGTTTCCCACCCATATCCGCTACTCTTCGAGTGATAACGTATCCTGACCTTCAACCTGCCCACATGGGCCTAACGTCTGACCAAAGAGATCGGCAATGCACACCCTCACCCACCCACTAGCACCAGGCGCCCTCGCACAAGTCCCATCAGTCGTCCCAGTCTCGCCAAACCCCAATTTCACACGCCTGCGGAGTGTTGACATACATTTCCACGTCGTACCACTCCTCCACTGGTCCGCTAGGGCCCGATAACCTGTCCAACACAAGCCACACATCCCCCTGCCTACAATCCATCGGATCAATGTCGACGCTCTCGGACCGAACCGTGGCTGAGTCTGCATATTCCCCCTGTTCGCTAGCAATGATGATTCTGCGCTCTGGACCCCGTCCCAGTTCAACGCTCAGCCGCAGCGGGCTGCGCGCTAGCTTGCCCAGATCCATTGCCCGAGGGCTTGTTGCCTTCAAGAACCGCGCAATAATTGTATATGATGCCAACCGATGCAGACGAATTGGTGCTGCCACCTTGTGTACATGTGCGCCAAAACACGCTGGAGCAAGCTTCATCGAGAGCAGCCCTGCTCCGTCCCGCGCTATCGGCGTCAGCCCTACCTGACTGCTGCTGTCGACTCGCAGTGTATAGTCCCCAGTCAGTCCCGCTTCAAATAGCGAACATATAATGGTATAGTATCCCGGCTGAACATCCTTGATCTGGGCAAAAACACATCCACTGCGGTGGTTGCCCGAGTCTGCAAGCACATCCCGGCTTTGTAACCGATACAGCCTCTTCCCGTGTCCAAACGCAAGTTTGACGTGCAAAGGATGTTCGTGATTTGTACTCGTCAGCAGAATCGCTAGCGAGCCGCGTTGGTGCACATGGAGTGAGTATTGAGGATTGTCAAAGTACTTGGGCGAGTCTGTGCTGCCGCCTGCCGTCTGTCTTGTCCAAGCTCCGGTTTGAATCTCTTGTAACGGCAGTCGTTGTGTCGCTGGCTCAAGTGTCATGGGCGTATTGGCAAATGCCGACAGCGAAAATGTGTACTTTGACCGAGGCAAGTCGTCCTGGTCAATCACCACCGTGTACGTCGTGTTGGCATCCATGTCGCTGCGGAGGAGACATTGAGGCGTTGTCACGTAGTCGCTTGATTCTAGGTACGTGTCCTTGATGTAAATCCGCTCTCCATGTCCAGTACAGATATACATGCTCATGTAACCCTTTGGTGCCTCTCCGCTACCGCCAAGTTGAGTGTCATGGCGAACGCTGCCATCGTTGAATACGTCTGAATCTTCCTTTGTGGTTTCTTGTACATCCCGGAAATGGCGGCTCAAAAGAAGCCAGACGGGCCCGGCATCTTTGGATGTAAAGGCAAACTGTGGATTGTTGACTATGCATCCGGCTGGTGTTGACGCATTGATGTCCCACTCGAAATGGATATCTTGACGGTAACGAAAAAGTCCCGGATTCCAGTTGAGATATAGACTCTCAAAATGTTGTATGACCTGCTCAAGCCCTATCCAGAACGTTGTTGGGTGAGGCCGATCTTGTGTCGGAACGCTGTCCCTGTGATAAACCTCTACACTGGTATTGAGCTCTCCGGCAGTAGAGTTATCCATGGCAGCCACGGCAGATGGACGAGGCCCACGCCAACCCTTACCTTCGATCCATGGATTTTTGACGAGCAACAGCCGATCGTGATCCGTCTCCTTCATGTCAAGTATGACATAGCTGTGCTGGCCCTCGAGTCCAAATTCACGCTCTTGCTTAGTTGACATCTTGCCTGTGCCTGCAGTGACCAAAACGTCTCCATACATGAAAGCATTGTAGATGCGCTTCCATAACTGGTCAGGGACTGTCTCCGTTCTGAAAATCAGTTAGCGTGCCTCAGAGCAAGTCTAAGAATATATGTAGCATACTCTTGTAGGAAGACTTGTTCCGGGATCCAGCCAGTCATTGCCCATAGGTCACCACATGAGTTACTACCGGGGAAGTCGTAACCGCCGCGGACTTTCAGATAGGCCTTCTCGAGTAGTGCTGGCCACAACAAGGCTGGGTTGCGGCGGTCGATGACGTGGAGCACCCGGTGGGTTTTTGAAACAGGCAGTCGGTCATCAATGACAACTTTTCTCCAACAACCGTTGAAGTTGAGTCGCACAACGTATTTGCCATTTGACGATGGCACTGGTTTTCCACGCTGTTTATCAAATGGGTATAGTTTGTTGGTGAGAATCTGTAATGGTCAATACCAAACCTCCTATGGGTCTAGAAGACGGACCTGTTCATGGCCACGCTCTGAACGAGCAATACCAGCACATAGACTTGTGACCACCGAACAATCTGTAGCCGCATCCTGTACGAGATCCAGAGGCTTCGAACTGGACATTAAAGGTCCGACACTCTCTGTGCTATCGGAGGATAGAGAAGGCGGTGGTACAGCTTCTTTTGCCCGCAGCCAGTCCAGGAAGAATTGCTGTTGGTAAGGAGAAAGACTAAGCTCACCCATATCGATGAAATCGCCATCTCCATGAAGTGAAGCGAACTCGTCTGCGGATGGCTCCTTGGTCCAGGGTGGGAATTTGAAGCCATTGACCATGGAGGCCTTTAGTAGGATGATTTCCTCCCTCTTAGAGAGTTGCCTGCTTGACACCGGCTCACGCAACCTATATATTTGGGGGTGGGAAGCTGCCGCTCGTGATGAACCGGCTTCACTTACATTGGGTAAAGTTGAGTGAGAAAGTGTGCTGGCAGGATAGGGTTGCGAGGACGACTTTAGACTTGGGTTAGATGCACGATCAATATCAAAAGCGTTACTGGTGCTGATATTGGGGCTATCTTGATACGACGACGCATCGGGTGTTGAGGCAGAGGAGGTTCCATGACGAGAAGAGCTTGACTGTGTAGTAGTGTCTTGGAAAGCCGATGATGAATCTGCTGCTACTGCAACTTGCGTGGCCCACTGGCCAATGTGGCGGCTTTTGGATTCATTTGACTGTGGCTTCGCAGATTGTGTCCACATTCCAGTCTTCTTGATGCGGTCGGCAACATTCATGATTTCGCCACACTGTGCTTTGAGCAGTTTCTTCTCGTCTTGGTTTGACGCCAACTTGAGCGCTTTCATGAGATTCTCAGCTGCGCTAATGGCTAAAGTGAGAGCCTCATCTTTAGTAGCAGCCGTATCCAGTTGAGAGCGGTATTTCTAGAGAGCCGCACATCAGTAAGCGGCGCCGTTCAAGGGTCACTGTTACAGTGGGAGGACTGGCTGCGATGTCACATACGCTTGCAGCAGCTTTGCAAGCCTCAAGCTGAGCGGCCCGGTCTGCCATGATGAAAAGCACAAAACGGAGCAAGGGAGCAGGGGTTTGATCAATACGGCACGGAGAATACGAGATTACCTGTAGTGGGTCATGCCGATAAAGTCACCGGGGGTTGAGGTCAGAGGTAAGCTAGACACGGCGATGGTGTCCTGGTGTTGTTGCCCGGAGAGTTACAAGGTTTAGCGCGACGCACGCTCCTGCCCGAACAAAGTCGCGACTGCCATGTGAGCCAGACACGAACAATTGGCGGTAGGCAAGAGACGACGTCTTTTTTCTCCTTCTCAACCTCTAAAACGATTCACCTTTTTTTACTGTTCTTGTTATAGTGTCTGAACTTACCAACTCCATGTCCAATAAAAGGTTACGCTGCAGACGCCTCTAGTGTGTCGTCATACATGGGCCCGAGCCTGAACCTCGGCCTCTGGGACCTCGGGAGAGGTCAGCCATGCCTGCGACCGCGCTATCACGTTGCGGAGCGTCACAATCGTCCCTTGCCCACTTTTTCTACACCTCCGATGCTGCCATCTTGAATCTTTACTTGGCCGCTCTGCCATGAGATAACTGCAACTACACTCCAACAACACCACCACTTCCCATAACCGATTGCGTGCTCTGTCTGTCAGCACAGTGCTTGAGCCGTCTCTCCGATAACCGCTTCCCACAACCGCTACCATGGGCGGACAGTCCAAAGTAGAGACCCTACCGCCATGGGGTAATGCTGTTGCCGGCGCCGCTGGCGCAGTCATCGCAAACACTCTTGTCTACCCATTGGATTTGTGCGTATCCCTGCCAACGTGCCCTCTTGCTGTCTTGAGGCACACGCTAACGCATTCCCCAGGATCAAGACGCGGTTACAAGTTCAGGTCAAGCGCTCTCCAACCGCAGACGGCGCCAATCCTGCTGATGACGAGCACTACGACAGTGCGCTCGATGCGATACGAAAGGTTTTTGCCCAGGAGGGCTTGTCTGGTCTGTATGCCGGCATGGGAGGTGCGCTGCTCGGCGTAGCCTCCACCAACTTTGCCTACTTTTACTGGTACACGATTGTCCGCACTCTCTACATGTCCAACCGCGCACTGCAAACGCCGCCCGGTACCGCTGTCGAGCTTTCGCTAGGAGCCGTTGCCGGCGCCCTCGCCCAGCTGTTTACTATCCCCGTTGCGGTAGTGACAACGAGGCAGCAGACTATGAGCAAAGCGGAGCGCAAGGGCATGATTGCCACCGCCATGGATGTAATCAACGGTGAAGACGGTTGGACTGGTCTTTGGCGAGGATTGAGGGCGAGTTTGGTTCTGGTCATCAACCCCTCCATCACATACGGTGCCTACCAACGACTGCGCGAGGTCTTGTACCCAGGAAAGAAGAATTTGAAGCCCATGGAGGCTTTTCGTAAGTTATCCTGTTCCTCGCGTTTTTGTGCTTGCGTAGTCCAGACCAAAAAGACTAACACACAACAGTCCTCGGCTCGCTTTCCAAGATGCTCGCAACAATCGCGACACAACCCCTCATTGTCGCAAAAGTCGGCCTGCAGTCAAAACCACCGCCATCCAGGAATGGCAAGCCCTTCAAGTCCTTCACAGAAGTCATGCAATTCATTATCCAGAACGAGGGCGCCATGGCACTATTCAAGGGCATCGGCCCCCAGATTCTTAAGGGCCTGCTCGTCCAAGGTTTCCTCATGATGACCAAGGAGCGCATCGAGCTTTCTTTTATTCTGCTTTTCCGCTACTTCAGACAGGTGCGCGCCCAGAAGCTGCAGAAACTGGCAAACATAGCTGCCGAGAAGGCGGGTCAGGCAGCTCCTGTGCTCATCAAGTAAAGAGGGAGAAAGAGCTCTCCATGTCCGTTGTTAAGAGTTTTATGCAATCATGTCAGGTGTATATATACCCTGGTTTGGCCCTAGTCTTTTTTGTTTTGAATGTGCCACGTTGCGCTGGCGTTTAGATCTGTTTGAGCATACTACGGATTTATATATTATTAGCGGTATAGACCCAACAAACATCTTTTCTTTGGAGATTCACGTGCTTGAACATTAGCTCAGTGATTATGTCTTATGTATAGATGGATATACGATTGACATTCCCAACAGCGTAGACGTGAAAAAAGCTTGGATTAAACACTAAGAAGCGTCACTAAGTGGAGAGATACACCATGTGGTGAGGCGGATTGGCAGTTTGGAGCTTCGGCACCATTCATCTTAAAATCTTTTCGAATTGTTGTTCACACTTTACATTGATAATTAATTACTGTTAGGGTCTACCCAGACATTAGGGGGCTGAAGTGAAAAGATAGTTTGAAAAAAAGGTATGCAACGGGTATAGGCCTAGACTTTATTTTACTGTGAAGAATTCGGCGCTTTGATGATATTGTTTAGGCCTAGAGATTGATGTGGCGTATGCTGATGGCCACCTAGAAGTATCTACAGATGCATGCACACGATTGATTTCTTATGGATAGTACCCTGTGTTCTTTGTCCAGCGCTGCCTCAATATGCTTCATCAGCGCTTTCGCAAAGCTATTTAGGCCTTGATGTAAGAAATTTTCCCTTTGAGTGAACAAGTACCTGCGTGAATCCGAGTGAGTTCTGCAACCACTCGTCTTTCTCTTTGGAGAAGGAATCTTTCTTGCTGTTACTTGTAACTACGAGCAGGGCGTGGTCAAGGTACAGTCGCGAGCGCAGTCGATTTCTGATTTCTGATTTCCAGATTAATTCTATTCTCCAGGCACAGTTCACCTGACAGATTCACTTGTAGATTCGATCCACGACAAGTGTGCTTATGTAAACTCGTGTTACAAGTCTAGTTATAAGAAGTATTCTTCTGCCAGTACCTTCTCGCGCAAATACGACTACACGCCCTACAGAAAATAGAAAAGGCGGAAGAGAAGGCAGATTGTGCATTGCTTCTAACAGCCTTGCCGCTGGTGGAACAGTGTTGCGAACGCGTGGAAGCCCCCCTGGACTGATATATATATCCATCTCAATAGATTTCTGAGCAACGGTAGTAGTTGATACAGCCCCAAGATCCTCCTCCACAGTATTGGGACCGCCACACGCAGTCGTCGCAGTTCAACTCCCAACAATCTTCGTTTCCGTCGCAGGCATGGTCGTTACAGGCTCTCTTTTCCAGTAAAGGAGACACCTCTTTCCCTGGCTTGGATGTCTGCGGCTTTGGTACATACGGCTGGATGAAGTCTGGAACAGCTAGCAACTGTTCCTTGGAGATAACGGTCGTGCCGTCGCTAAATTCATTTGACCAACGATCAGCTCTTATCTGTCATGTTGACGGCATGCGAGGGGCAAGGTAGACTTACACTCCAGTGAAGTGCTCTCGGACACTCTCATCTAAGCGGGTCTTAACATACTCGGCAACTTGATCTTTGTCGAGTTGGATGTAATCGATGACCTTGGTGCGCTCTAGATTCAGGCTACGCAGCACTCCATCATACCCTAGCACTTGAACGCCGTTGCCCTTGGCGAGGCCTTTGATGGCCTCAGATAGCGACTAGAGATGAAGGTTAATATCTGGTTGCGCCGAAGTAGCCACATTTTCGACTTACTCCTTCGTTTGATGTAGCTGTTGCGAGCAAGAAAGCTGCACTAGCAGACAGAAAAAGTGAAAGTCTCATGGTGATAGTCGAGAGTGAAGTCTAGTGAAGTAGTGATTTGCCGGGCGTTTAATAGAGGTTAACCAGCGATTCAGTGATTCAAGGCATCTGCTAGGAGAGCTGGAGTATCGTTTTATACAATCTCGTGTCGTGCAAGAGTGTAGGTATGTTTGGATCCAGTCTATGCTATACTGTGGTGCGAGCCGAATCCGCCTGCAAGAACGTATAGGATCCTAAATGACTAACCAATTGCACCTTATTGTAATATCAACTATCCTGAACAGCTACGCCGTAATACATCATCAATTCTATAGATATGTTCAAACCAATCTCGTGCCGTCCTGGAGCTTATGTTTGGCTATAACCACCTATACTGTACTGCGGCGTAAGCCGAACCCCGCCTTCAAGGGCGTATGGGATTCTGTCCAACTGACTTGTAGATTGTTATATCGATCCTTTGTGCCAAGGGCTACGCCGTAACGTATTAACCGACCTATAAGAATGTTCGAGCAAGCCTTGGGATCTTGGCATGTTCATTGCAATAAGCATTAACACAGTAGGACGCGGCATCGAGAATCATGTAGATTTGATATCAATCTATCTTGTTGGTAGGCTGGCTCGCTTTGCTCGAATATCTCAACATGATCAGAGAGCTACTGATATCAAGGGGTTGATAGATATACCCAGTGAAGCAGACATCGTGCAAACGCTAAGATAAGTTGTCAATACATGTTTAGAGATTCTGGGCATACTTCCAATTGAGGCTGTACAAGATTCTACTATTGAAATCCATCGTTACGTTTGATTACACTGCATACAACCAACCCTTGTCTACTTGTCCGTCACGAGTGAACAGTGATGTAAGCACTGCAGGACAAAATAGGCAGATTGCTTCAACGTGGACGAAGATCAAAATTGCTGGGCATGCCTCCACAAGCTGGCCCCGCTGTTTTGCCACTTCCTTCGCCTTGTCGTACTTTGTCATTGTATCTCTTGATTTCTTCAACGCGCTCGTTCTTGCTACCCCGGGATTCGATTACGCCCGGTGGGGGATGTAACCAATGCCTAATAAGTTAGTCAAACAAGAATTGCAACCATGTATTTATCTGTGAACTACTAACTCTTGTGGAACAGATGTTCCATCGACTCCTCGAAAGCGGTCTTCTACCTCTTGGCTCCACTCCATCCTATAGTCAAGGTACGCCTTGAGCAGTTCTGGAGATAGAGGCTTGGCGTCGTATACTGCGATTGGAGTGGGCTCGTCGAGTGGTGCGGGTAGGAAGTAGAGGATTCGGAGAACGCCGTCCTTGCAGAGGCAGGTGAAGCACTTTCCATCCTCTGGTCTCTTCATGTATTTGATTAGAGAATTGACCATATCCCGAGTCTGCCGGGATGGATTCGCAGGTGCGCTCTCAACAGAAGGATCAGCATCGCTTACTTGCGAGGCTGATTCCTGTGCATACTGTTGGTTCGATGGTGGCTGTTCATTGTCTCCGTGCTGCAAGTCTGCAGAATCATGTGCTATGGGGTCGGACATGATTGGTTCCTTGTTTGTGTAAGAGTAAATGTGACAAGGTCGAGTCCAAGTGGATACTTGGAAGGAGGTGATGGCTGGTGAATGAGTGTTGGATAGGGACTGGATTCGTCGTTTATTTATATTATTGGAGTCATGTGGCTTACTTCCTGATGCCTTGACAACGTCATAAGACTTCAGCCTCCCGTGTCTGGTCATCTGCGGCATTTGCGACTATTGTAGATTACTACTAACTTAGGCAGCCTATCTTGCATCTGTATAACTGAACTTTGCAATACGCCATATGGTATTGATTACAAAGCCACGCCTATTACGCAATAGTGCCGACATGGTAGCAGTGGAGATTTGCCGCTGAACCGGAAGCTGATTGTGCTCGCCACTGTACTGCTTAGAAAGGGCACTAAGATTAACGCACAGGGTGGACGCTTCGACAACGCACTGCAGGCAGCTTCAGCTAAAGGTCACGAGAAGGTGGTTAAAATATTGCTCGATTCCAGAACGAGATGATCATCGCGGGGCAATGGTTACGTGACTTGACCTCCCGCTAAGTGTTGGCATCCTGCCAAGAATGGGAAGCCAGAGAGGACATGACTGGAAGCAATGAGGATACAAGGATGGATAGATTTCATTATTACTATTCTTGTAGTCAACTCATATTTTAATTTCTTACTAGCCACTTTACTTTGCAAGACTGGTACTTGTTAGTTTGTAGAAATATAGATTCGTGTTTGCGAAAACCCATTATTCTCAAGCACACCACTCCGCCGAATTGTTAGACAAAACCCTCATGGCGCTTACACTCATTCCTACTCGCCCTAACTCAGATCGAGCCTATAGGAGTATAAGCACTCAACTCTGTGTAACACTCGTGACCTCCCTCTAAAGCTGCCTTCAGTGCATTGCCGCAGCGTCCAACCTGCGCATTAACGTTAGCGTGGCATATATGACTAGCGTCGGACCGTATTCTTTCCAATACAATATACTATGCTTGTTTCTTGGTAGAAACCATGATGTGTCAGCTATATCTCGAACAAGTTTGTGAAGAAGCGATCTCCGAGTAGTCCGAACCATGAACCTTGTCTCGCCACACAGCGTGTCTCTTCACCTTGGGGATGCACTTTCTCCGTTATATCTGTGTACTACACAGGGGGTGCATATTATCTTTTATTTCTTCCTGAAATAAATGCTAAGAAAACCCACATATATCCCGTTCCCCTTTCTATATTATACAAACCTGGAAGAAAAGAAAAATAAAGGAAGAAGAACCAAGGTCGTTTCTAAGCCTTGGGTTTGGGCACCTTAAACGGATGTGCCTCGGTATTCAAAACCCAGTCATCCAGACTAACAACGCTGGGCTCACTAAATGTAAGATAGAAATATTTTAGCGTCTCCGCCATCCAGAAGCTCTGTTGTTATCATCAGTCAACATACTCAACAAGGCCTTCAAGGTAGCAAGAAAGGGAGGGGAGAGAGGAAGATACAATGAAAAAGGGGAGCATTGAACATACCTCCATACTATCCTCCCTAGGCGGCTGCGGCGCCGAAACATCCACCAACGCCGAATTCCCAATATCCGTATCGGTAGACTTCAAAATCGCATTCCACATATCCCACGCCGCAGCCTGCCACTGCTGCTCACCCGTAACGCGATACATGACGAACACGCTTTCGATAGCCTCGGGGCGGAGGATGTAGCGGCGGTCCTCTATAGATGTGAACCCTGGTGGAAGACGCAAGTTCGCAATGTTCTTCAGTAGATCCTGCTCTTTTTCGGAGGCGGAGGTGCGGGCCATGATACCTTGTTGCCATGCGGATTCGTCCCAGGAGCATGTGGTGGAGGAGGCGCAGGGGAGCAGATGCGATACTTCGGGCATGATGCCTGCGGGGGATGCGCGGTAGGCCCAGACGCATGTGTCGGTGAGCTTGCGAGCAATTTGTAGATGTGTTTCGTTTGAGAAGAGGCGACCGCCGAGGGCGAACATACCGCCCGTGTAACAGGCGAGGTGCTGGAGGACAGGGTCGAGGTGGGGGGTTGAGTCTTCGGAGACGGAGACGAAGCCCGAGACGAGCATGTCGTAGTCTTCTGGGTTGGAGGGGCGGAAGAGGATGTGTTTGGAGGCAGTTTCCATGGCGCTTTCGTACATCTTGTGGTAGGTGGTGTCGAGGCCGCCGAGGAGCATGTATTCTTTGGTCAGATACTCGTATGCGGAGTCGGCCATGCTGCCAAGGGTGAAACTGATATCTTGGGTGAAATCGGCATTTCGTGCATTCACCATCAACGGCCACATGCCAGGAAGCTTCGTTTTGCCCTGTTGGGCGTCTAGAAGCTGGGATATTCTTGCTACTGCATCGTACCATTTTGGGTCGCCTGTCAATTGCGAGAGACGCGTAAACTCCATGGTCATACTTCCAATTTCCGCAAGGAGAACCTGTCCATCTGCTGCTTGGGGCTTGCCCTCACCCCCAGCGCGAAACTGCCATCGCGTAATGGGCATGTGGTTGGGTGTGTCGAAAGCATGGTACAGCATTTCACCCACCTCCTTTGCCTTCTTCAGCAACCGCTCATCGCCGCTGAGTTCAAAAGCCGATAGCAGACCACCCAGGTGCCGGATGTTGGTCTCAAACACATTGACCGTTTCCAAATCCGTGTATCCAAAGTCGATGCGCTCGACATCCTCGACGGCCGACGCGAATTCCTCTTCAAAACCCATGATGTATAGCGTGTCAAGCGCGTCGATGAGCGTGGCGGCCCAGCCTCCAAAGTGGTCCGACACTCCCCCGCTTATGGGACGCACCTCATCGTGCATCCATGCATGGCTGCGGTAGTTCTTCCAGCATTTGAAGAATTGCTTCTTGACTTCTTCTCTCCTCGTTTCGCGGATGTTCTTCGCCGTGGCGTCTTCGGCTCCGAATTTAAACTGGATCTTGGGTAACGCTTTCGGTTCGCCGGCTGGTAGCGGAGTGAACGACTCGATGCGATTGTGGAACGGCACCTTGGCCCAATCAAACGACGGGAACTTTTGTGTCCTTTGCGGCTCGTTTGCGTGTGTATGTTGATCTGGATGTTTATGCTCGTGCTCGTGTTTGTGGTCTTGCTCATGTTCGTGCTCGTGTTCGTGGTGGTCCTGGTCGCCGACTATAACCGCGTTGTCTGGGTCCTCATAAGGTGTCTTGAGACAGTAAAGAAAGTAGATGAGACTAAAGCCCATAAGGACATAGAGAGTGTAGCGCCGCATCAGCGCCATTATGTATTACAATTACCCACGACTCCCACAAGGTGAAGAGAAGGGGGGAATGAGGAGTACGGAGAACGCGCAAGAAGCTGACTCCATCTTACATGGACAGATTGTGGGGAAGCTAATGCCTGCCTCTGGGATGCAGTGTCCCTGCCAAGGCGGTACCCAAGGCGGCGAGCTCAACATCCTTGCCTGGGGCGTCCGCTTAACTACGAGGTCATCCGATAGATACGGGCTAGTCGGTCTGCTATTCGGCATTACGGCACCACATACGAGACATATCGCACTTCGCGCAACCAAAAATTGCTATAGTCCATGGTTTTACGAATAACTATGCAAACCAATAGTCGGCTGTCCACGCAATCATATCTGGCTTGCAAAAATAGCACTCCAAGTTTGGGCCTTAGCAAGCTTACATACATTATACCAGTGCATCTTCCAATTCCTTCTCGGGTACAAACTTATGCGTTGTGACATTAGTGCTAATTTATACCATGTTCCCAAAAACTAGTTACACATTCAGGAAAAGAAGATAAGAAAACATGTCGTGTGCTGTATGTGAGTCCGACGAGTGGGATTAACAAAAGAAACTCCATGTCCTACCCTGTCGGATATGACGCTCTCAAAAGACTGTTGCCCAGAAATTGCTGAGCCGAGGTGATAACTTGAATACTTTGTTATCATGCAAAGCTTCTTAATGACGAAGACGATGATTTTGGTTTGAGGCTAAACGGGCAGCTCTGCAGTGCTTTCAACATATTAAGGACGTTGCTCTCGGATATCTCGGTGTCTTGTTGTTCGCTGGGCTTCGACACACTGTCCGCCGAGTAGACGCTGCTTATACTTCCGCGTAAGCGAGACATAATGGTAGGGAGACTCATGGATTGCTCTTCTTCTCCTGCGAACACAGTAGGAGAACTCGAAGATGATTCGGTTGTTTCAGGCATTTCTTCTTGCCATATCTTGGTTTGTGGGACTGGTGCATCCGCGAGAGTGGGTGGCGCCGTAGTCTCATCAATCTCGGATTTGGAAGCAGGTAGTTTGACATCGAATGGTGCACCGCGGGTGATTGAGCAGCCCAGGGTATGAGTGGCAACAGCTGGCGTGACAAGTACTGGTGCTGGCGGCGGCTCTACAGCTACCTGGAAAGGCACGCTTGGTGTTGAAGCATTACTTGGCTTGCGTTCGGTTGGAAGCACAGTATACGAAAGGAAATCACTCGCAGTCGAAATTACTGAATCTGTTTCAGAGACTGATGTTGTAGGTGATTGTGGTGGTAGAAGCACCGTCGCCTCGTCGCAAGGGCTGAACGGGATTTCCGCTACCTGTTCGCTCAAGTCGGAATCGTCTGGCAGTTGAGGCATATCAACTGGCATACTTGGAGGTGACTCAGGGGCATCTGACATGAATATGAATTGTCTGTAAGACGCTGCTTCCCGTTCGGCCGTTGATGTTGTCCGTCCTTTTTCTGTGGGCTCATTGAGTGTATCAGGCTGCTGGCCAAGTTCAAGAGATTCGCTCAAAACACACTAAACAAGAGTCAGATAGTAAATCAAAGATTGGTCAGCTTACGTACCGAAGGTGTAGAGTGCTGTGAAGTCAGATTTGGGTTCGGAGAAGGTGAGAAAGCCGAGTCAATACGAACAGACTCGGTTGCAAAGAAGCTGTTATGTTTCCAACTCTGAGAAGCCTTGGGTATCTCCAGCCCAAATAAATGCTCATTATCCTCTCCAGTCCAGCTTTTGTGAGAAGGACCTGGTGTTGACGGAGTAACAGAAAGCTCTTCAGATTTCGACAAGATATCGGTGTGGTCCCTAATTGACGAAGCGTTGAGAAAGGCATCTAGCTCGGGTGTGACGGGTGCAAAAGTAGATCGGACTGGTGAGGTTGCGGAAGCCTTCTCTCTATTATCACCCGATTCTTCGGAGCTACCCTTGTTCGCAGCCATCTCCTTCAATTTTCGAATGTCGCTCCTGTACCCCTTGATATCAAGCTTGAACAGGATGATTTCGCGCACATAAAAGTCAATCTCGCGACGCAGCCTTTCGATCTTAGCTTCGGGCGTGTCAGCGACAGTTTCGCCCTCGTTATTAAGCTTCTCTCTCTTCAAATGCTCATGAAGCTTCTCGATCCAACAATCAATATCTGCTCCCTTGGCCAACGACCTAAGCTCTGGCAGAGGCTGTTCTTCCTCGGCAACAAAAAGCTTCATCGCTGTATGTTGTCGGATTTCTGCTTGCAGCAAGACCTTGTGGTACTCGAGCTGCCTCGTCAATGTGTGGATCGCCTCTTCGTTTTCCATGATTGTGGATTCACGGTTAATGACCGCGTTCCGGAGCTGTTCGATCAGCTTGTCGCTTGTGCGAGTTTCTTTCAGAAGCTCGTATTGAAGATCCGATTGGACAGCCACTCTCTTGTGCTCTTGCTCAAGTTGGTTGAGTTTTCGTTGTAGCTCTTCTCGTTTCACTTCCAGTTCAGCTACGTATGCATTCTTCTCAGCAACCTGGGCTTGTAGCTGCTCAGTTTTCGAGGTAGATGCATCCGGCGTGGGGTTTCCCGAGTCGACTGCTTCTGAATTCTTGGCTAGTTCACTAGATGTCTGGGTATCTGTACTAGTTTGGGTACCTGAAGCTGCCCGACTCGTATCCGATGAGATACGTAGCTTGGCGGGAGTGAGGTCGAACGGCGACTTCTTATCCCTCCAATTCGAGAGCTGTTCTTCAGCATCCAATCGTTTGGTATTGGCAATTTCAAGGCGGGCCTCGAGATCGGCAGTGGTGTTTTTTAGAGCATGGATTTTCTCAGTGAGCTTGTCAATGAGCTTGTTGGCGTGCTTTGCTTTCTCTTCCCACTTAACACTTTTTGTTTCCATCAGGCCCAGCGTACTCCTCAGCTTTCGCTCGCTCTCGTTCGACTCATTCAACTTTGCCGTTAGTGAATCAACCTCTTTCTGGAGTGCAGCATTGTCTCGTGCGTATAAGCTAAGTTCTAAATGTAGGTTCTGGGTTGCTGTTTCTAGGCGAGGAGAGGCAAAAAGCTTGCGCTTCAAATTTTCCTAATGAATCTGTTTCAGTATATATATCAAGTGCGTTGTTTTCCAGGCATCATTACCATTTCACGGGCATTTAGTGGAAATGTATCTGAATGTGCCTTGCCCGTCAATATCTCATCAAAAGAGGTGTCTAGGTCTAGAGATTCGAAGTTCGTCGGCTTCTTGACTCCCTCATCGACTGGGACATGTAGCCAGTCACCGCTTGACCCTATATATGCTTAGTCATTAGACTTTGTGTGTGGTATTCCGAATGTACAACACGAAGAGCCCACATTGTCCGGTATCACAAAATGACAATCATATGCGGCCTTTGAGGGCAAGCTTCGTGATGCAACAAGGAAAACCGTACTCACTTCGCTGAAGGCCTTCCTCGTTCATTCGTTCCTTGAGCAGTCGTGCTTGGTTCTCCAGAGAAGCGACTTGCACCGAATGTGAACGTTTGAGCGTCTCCACATGGGACTCATGTGCGGCCCTTAGGTTGTCAAACTGGGCTTGCAACATTGCTATGGTTTGAAGTTGACTAGCGTTAGTCGACTCTAGCTCATGGGCATGTTTGCTGTGTGCTGATGTTGGGCTAGTTTGAGAAGACGTCTGTAAATGATTAGCATGTTTGGGAGCTCAATTACGGCCCTCGAAAGCGTTTGAGAGGGGAATGGTTTCAACATCAATGTTCGTTATACATCGAAGTTCTGGAAAAACTTCCTCGCACGAGACTTTTGTAAGTCTCGCCAACATGCGTGTGAAAGAAAAAGTGAAAGAGACTCACCACTTCTATATAGCCGTGACGCTTTTCAACTCCTTGATCGGAATTTCTACCGTCTCTTTCGACAAGGTCGTTCTTAGTGACGATAGGAAGTGACTTCATCACACTAGACTCTGGAAGTCTCTGCAAGGTAGTGTCGACTAGGGAGTGATTTCGCTGTAATCCTTGAAAACCAGACTGAGTGGCTGCTGTACTGGGAACAGGGATTTTGCTGGGGCGGGTCGTCTTTGTCAAACTGTATCGGGAATTCAGATGCGGGACGCTTCTGGCGTGAGTCAATGTTGGTATAGCCGGCTTTGGTACATCCAAAGTAGCGACCTTCTCACAGGCCGGTTGCATTTTCGGGCGATGGCTCTCATTCTGAAAGTCCTGGACCGATCTTGTCGTGCGAATAGGATCATGATACAACGGATAGCCTTGACCCTGTAAAGGGGTTGATTCCGGCAACTCAGCGGGCAACTCTACCAATGATGGCACCGATGCAGACCGTGGCCTACTTGGAAGGGGTTTGTCCACAAAAGAGTATTTTGAGCATAGCGTATTTATCGATTCTGGTGAATGCAACATGTCATTGACTGCGACATGGAGATTATTGACTGCGCTGGCCAGTGCTGTATCGTACTGAGCAACGCTTGTACTGGATCCATTTTGCTTGCCGTCTGCTGTCGTGGTTACAAGCTTCGATGGCCGCCGTTTCAGCGTATCGAGTAGTCCCGTCCGAGAAGAAGGGTCAACGCCACTGTGGCGTTTAGACCAGGAGAGAACAGGTTTGGCTGGCATTGTGCCGGCCCGGGGCGCAATACAATTAACGAGGAAGTTGTGGAGACATGGATATGAATTGACAGCTTGACGCGCTCGAGTGGCAGTGTTGGGCTGGAGGTGGAAAAGGGATGATACACGAGAGCTCAACAGCAAGGGATCTCATGGAGTCTTGTCCGTGGTTATACTGTCTGTGCAATGCGTCTGAATTATTCATTGCGCCCTGAGTCGTGCCTTGGGGCCCGAACATAGGAGCTACACCATATTCTGAGCACAATGCCTATATGGGCCAAAAGGGCCCGAATCAAGAAGAGATGGCGCCATATCTTGCTTGTCAACATGAATACATGAACACAAGATAGCCGCCCTATAAGGCCGCGGTAGATACACAAGTGTGACGAACGAATGAAGGACATGGCAGAGAAGGATGCACGTGGCGTCCTAGCACAAATAACGCCGGACCAGGGGGGATGAGGTGCAGCAAGCTCGGGCCGCCTGTCTGATGTGGGGAAAGTCGCGACCGCGTAGCTTCAATTCTTTTCACGCTACTGCGTCTTTAGTCGCGACTCTTTGGAGTTATCAAACTTGTCTTGCTGCAATCTGCCATCCACGGCGTAATTTCCTAGACGGCTACTTCCTGCTACCCTTGCAGCCTGACGCCAAAAACCTGGTTATTGAATTCACTAGTGGAAGAAAAAATTGGGCACGTCATCTCGCTCCGATTTCCATGCTGCACTGTTAGGCTGCTGCCAGCAATCGATCCCCAACATGACGAGAGACCTGTCGCCATACAGCGCGCGGCGACTGCTAACCCAGCAGTCCAAAGAGGACAGAGCGGCATCAGCGCAGACCAGTAACAGCAGAAATGAGAGTCCCAGCAGCTTCTCCCGAAATGGGTCGGATCACGCAAGGAGAGAGCCTTCAACGGCATCGGGCCGGCGTTCGAGCAGCAGGTCTCGAACAGAGAAGCCGGGAAATGCATCCAAGGACCACGCGCCCAGGAATCCAGCCATAGAGTCAGGCGCTATTCGCAAACGGGAGCCTTCACCTGAGCCATACAGAGAGCCGCGCGACTCGTCCAGAGATAGGAGGCGCGATGGATCAAAAGATCGTAAGAGGGATAGGTCAAAGGACAGACGGCGAGACCGGTCACGGGATAGAAGGCGTGATAGGTCTGGCGACCGGAAGAGAGACCGTTCAAAAGACAGGCGGCGTGATCGTTCCAGAGACAGACACAGCCGACGAGACCGCTCGCGCTCCAAGGACAAGGATCATCGACGGAGGGACAAGTCCCAGGATCGAATGCGTTCGCGCCCACGCTCGCCCATACCTTATCGCTCGCGCAAGCCGCGCAGTCGTTCGCCTTCTCGGTCGAGGTCGCCGCCACCTAAACGTCGCCGACATACACGTTCCAAGTCTCGGTCACGTTCACCTCCTCGGCACAAGCGTGAGAAGAAGCCTCTGCCTTCGCAGGAAATCTCCTTCCGCGGTCTCGACGACTCTGCCCAACCACCATCGAAATATGGGGGTGCCCCGGCAGACAAGGAGAAACCCAACTTCAAACCCACGGGTGCGCTGGCGAAAGCTGCCAACCGGGTAGAAGGCACAAAGATTTCCCTCAAATATCACGAACCAGCCGAGGCACGGAAACCGCCTTCATCACAGCCATGGCGCATGTTTGTCTTCAAGGGGGATGATGTGGTGGACACGATTGAGCTCTGGCAAAAAAGCTGTTGGCTGCTGGGTCGGTCACACGAAGTTGTAGACTATGTTCTCGAGCACCCTAGTTCAAGCGGACAGCACGCCGTCATCCAGTTCCGGTATATCCAGAAGACGGTTGAAGACGAATTTGGAGTAAAGAGCACGCGAGGCAAGGTCAAACCCTACATTATCGATTTGGAAAGCAGTAATGGTACGGAATTGAACGGTGAAGATCTTGAAGCGAGCCGGTACTTTGAGCTTCGGGACAAGGACATAATCAAGTTTGGCGGAAGTGAGAGAGAGTATGTCGTCATGCTGCCACCGGCGGACTCAAAACAAGGATCCAAGTAAATAATGCCAGTTCGTTACAGACAAGAATCTAAGTTTCTTATCGAGAGTGATTGAAAACATCAATCACCAAACCCCAATACTCTTCCAAGTCTAATGAAGACGTACACTATGCTATGCCTCCAAGTCTTCCATGTACTGTACGGCTTGATCCCACTCTTCTACTTTGGTATACGGACTCCTCATCCAAGCATTTAACTCGTGTAGGAAGAGCTTGCTATTTTCTCTACCCAAGAACTCGGCCACCAAGTTCTCTGCATGACCATGACTGGCTTTCAGATCTACCATTTTCAGGATGGACACAATGTAGGACAGCAGAAACTCGGCGTTGCTACTTGTTGTTGCGCCAGAGGACGAAGGACCTGTGGAATCCGTGTACAAGAAGGTGAAGACGCGGAGTTCACGTCGGATCCAAGCACGCGCCTTGGATTGCATCTCGGGAGAGTGCGCAATCATTTCAGGCGTAATGTCGCGGTACCCGGAGAAGGGGTTGCTGCCGACATGTAGGGAGTACAGTTTCCTACGGTAAACCTCCCTGCGTCTGCGTAGAGCTAGATCTTCAACAGGTGGAGAGTACGGACGGCGGGTACCTCTAGGCCTTCTGGGTAGTCCATAAGGAGCGAAGAGAGAGCCCGGTCGGTCCGTGCGACTGTCATTGTTGGTGGAAGGGTGACTACAAGGGACAGTATAGCTTTTGTAGTCTGATGGAGAACGCCAGTCGTACTGAACAGCAGTGACGTTTGATTTGCCTGAATTTCGGTATCAGAAATAGTAACTATAACATGTAAGTCGGGCCTACGTACATAGCGGGCAAGTTGACCGTTGCTGCAACCATGATACCAGACAGACAAAATCAAACGTGTAATGGTTGCATGGTGCAGTAATGGCTCTCTCCGTGACAGGTGAAAGACATATTACGCATGTGTCTTCCCTGTCGTCGTGCGCAGACCCGGCCGTACTTGCTGGCATGCGCTTGTAGTGTTGGAGAAGGGAAAAGAAAAGGCCCTGAATTCCGATGATGAGCTCATGGGTCGGAAGTGCGCTCGGGCCAGCCAAAAGTAGTCGCGACTTCCCTCTTGCACGCAGTCTGCGGCTTCATCATTCACTCTTCACACTCGCTGCACGTGTATAAAGGCGTGTAATTCACCGCAGAAGGTTCTGCGCCTGTTGCAGTCTAGTTTTGCTCCTGCATGCTCCTCTCCGCCACCCGACGCATTGCCTCAACTTGTCTCCGACGCTCATTCCCAGCCATGCTAGCAACAGCAACCCGGCCTGCCGTCGCAGGCCCAAATGGAAAAGCCACATATCATACCGTGACGGCACTCAAGCGGTGGTCATGCGACGACAAGGAACTCCCTCCCGTATCCGAAATCAAGGCCATTCACGTCTACGACTTTGACAACACCCGTACGCTTGCCACATCCGTGTCGCACGTCCAGTACTGACAACAGAACAGTATTTGCAAGCCCTCTCCCGAACAAGCAACTATGGAACAGCGCCACCATCGGCCAGCTTGGCTCACCCGACATGTTCCTCAACGGAGGCTGGTGGCACGATTCGAGCATCTTAGCAGCAACGGGCCAAGGCCTCGAAAAGGAAGAGGCGCGCGCATGGCAGGGCTGGTGGAATGAACAGATTGTCGAGCTCGTCGAATCGTCAATGGCGCAAAAGGATGCGCTGAGTGTGCTCCTCACAGGCCGTGGCGAGTCCAACTTTGCCGATCTTGTCAAGCGCATCATACGCAGCAGGCGCCTGGAATTCGACATGGTCTGCCTGAAGCCTGCAATTGGACCTGCAGGGCAGAAATTCAAGAATACAATGGAGTTCAAGCAAGAGCTGCTAAAGGATATTGTCTACACGTACAAGGACGCTGAGAAGCTACACATTTACGAAGATCGAGTGAAGCACACCAAAGGCTTCCGCGACTTTTTCTTTCAGTTCAACGAGGGCTTGATCAGGGCACAAACACAGGCGTCGCGTCGTCCCATTACCACAGAGGTTATACAGGTTCCGGAGAACGCCACTTCACTCGACCCTGTTGCGGAGATTGCCGAGATTCAGAAGATGATCAACACACACAACATCCAAGTCAAGTCGGGCAACGTTCCTCCTGGCACACCACCGTACCAGATCAAGAAGACCGTCTTCTATACCGGCTATATGATTCCCCCGGACATGACTGAGAAGTTGACTTCTCTCGTCTCCTTACCCCCTGGTGCTCCAAAAGACGATATCCGATATCTCGCAAACAGCATTCTGATTACACCAAAACCATGCCCGAAGAGCATACTGGACAAGGTGGGTGGCATCGGCGCCAAGGTCCGGTGGAAGGTGACTGCTGTTTCGTGCTTTGAGAACAAGTTGTGGGCTGCCAGAGTCGAGACTGTGCCCAAAGGCGCAAAATTCTACTCTGAAAATCCCGTTCCAACAGTCGTCTTGGCAATTCGCAAGAATGGCCGGCCAGCAGATGCTGCACGCATCTCCAACTGGCATCCCGTGCCCCAGGAGCAAGCGTTTGAATTTGACACTGTCGTAGGTGAGAAGCAGATGTTGCGCATTGAAGAAGAAACGGCAAACGAGAGCGAGTATGAGAGCTATTTCCCTAACAAGTCCCATCGCAAGGAGGACCAGAACGGACGCAATGACAACTCGCGGTCAAACCCTGGCCGCGGAGGCAGAGACCGAGATGAGAGGCCGGGAGGTTACCGTGGAGGCAACCGAGACCGCGGTCGTGGAAGCAATAGGCATACATCCTATGGCCAAAGAGGCGGCGCTCGTGGTGGCTACCGCGGAGACCGTGGTGGTGGCGGTCGAGGACGTGGCCGCGGCGGACAGTCGCAGTATAGAAGTTTGGACGATGTCGACAATGGCAACCGCGGGCCTGACAATAATCCGGATGCTTTCTACTAACATGTGTCTGCTAGTCATTGGGCCTTCTTTATGGGCGCCGCCTATCTGATTTCAGTCGTATCACTCTTCAGCAAACTGCGTGGCTTTAGCATTAAAGCGTAGTATCAGTATGACGCTAAGCGGTTTGAACCTCCAATCGGCTAAATCATCGGTCCTAAGCCCGGTTGACGTACCGCGTCTGGCACAGCATACATACGCCCTTTTACCATGATGAGAGCTCTCCTGTTCCTGTATACGTTACTCAAAAGTGCCAGCGCTCATGTTATCTTATATCCAATTTAGATACCCGTAATCTCATTCCCATGACGTACTCAGCATTGCTGGTTGGTCCACACCTTGCAAACAACGTTTATTTTTCCCAGAAAAAAAAAGAGAAGCGCACGATATCAAACAAGAAACAAGACGCGTCTCTCATCCAGAGACAAAGGAAAAACCTTATTGCGATGTCGACCACCGGACTTGTCCCAATTACGACGAATCCGGAAACAGCCGAGTCGAGCACAGGGCTGAAGAAACCAAATCGGCGATGACAATTTTCCTTGCTATGAACCCTCCCAAGCCCGCCTGCCCCCCAACCTCTCGGATCCCATCCGAACAACGCCCGTTTCCTTCCAGCTCACCACCAGACGCACGAGTCACTCAACAACCGGGTACCAATACCGCTTGGCTCTTCCCCCCATCAGGTCTAGTCCCTCTCCCCCGGTATTTCCTCCCACCTGGCCGCCGCCGGCGGCGCGACGCAGGGAACGCGTCCACGTTTCCATCGCACGTTGTGGTCCGACACCTATGGTATGGGGGAGGGGTGGAGGGGGAGGGGGCTTGGTGGCTGTCGGTGTGTCCTTTTCTCTGGAATCGGCGATCGCGTGCTGTTCTGTGCTAGTCTTTGTGGTTCCAGGGTTCATGCCGAATTTACGCACACCCCCTCTATCCTCTTCTCGTCTCGTCCTTATCCCGAATCGCTTCCTTGGGGCTATGCGGGTGCATTAGTCAGGGCGGGGGTATGAGGGTGCGGTGTTGTCAGTGCAGGTTTTTAAATGCCGGATAGGCGGCGGGCTGGACCCTGAGGTTTTGTTGTTTCCTTTTTTTCCCTCGCGGGAGGCCTGCCAAGTCGAGACGTCTTGCTGATGCTATACGAGATAAGATCGCGGTGATAAAGGGTATCACGAAGGGGTCTGGATATCCGAGGTGAGTACGTGAGGTCGCTAAGAGATGGTTGGTGTCAAGATGAGCTGTTCATAAGCCCCAGTGTCGGAAGTGTGTATGTACGTAAACGTGTATCTGGACAACCGGTCAAGATAGCCGCATATGATTATGTTGAATTAGTCTCCTATTGACAGATCCATACTACTAGATCTCCAACTCCAAACCCAAACAACATCTTTCTTTTCCCCTCCCTTGCCCGAAGGGGAAGGAAACCTCCCCCCAACTCAAAGTCCAAAAGCAACCCGATACCACATATCATATCCGCGTGAAGAGGAGGAAAAACTTCTTACAAGCATCTTCTGTCCTCAGTGGGGCCGAGAGCGCTCCACCGCCCAGCTCAGCTCAGCTCAGCCCAGCCTCACCCGTTATGTTATCCCGCATTCCCAAATCAACCACTACATCCGCGGCAAGTAGTCTACACAGAGCAATCCATCATCTACCACTTCAAACGAGCTTACCCGGGTTATTAGACCCTTTTCCTCCTCCTCCGACATCAAGCATCTTCTCTACACTGGGGGTTATTAGACTCCCCCCTCTTCCTTCTTCCTCTCCTCCCACATCTCAAACCCCTTCTTCCTCCATCCCCCATATCTATCCTCTCTCCCCCCACCCCTATCCACCCTCCCACTCCCTTTCCTCAAAGAAAAAAAAAGACAACAAGAAAGAGAGAAAAAAAAAATGTGCACAACCGTAACCCTCAAACACACAACCTGCACACACACACTAACCATCCACCGCACCTGCGCCCGCCACCCACTCTGCGAACTCACCACGCAGGTGCAGCGTGAACGGGGAGGTGAGTGCTGGGAGTGTGATCCGGGGCAGGCGCCGCCCGAGGCGTTGTTTGGGGCGCGGAAGAAGGAGTGGGTGGAGAAGAAGGGGGGTGTGGGGTTTAGGGGGGTGGGGAGGGGGAGGACTGTTTGATTTGGGGAGGGTTGGATGGATATGGAGATGGAGATGGGGAAGGTTAGAGGAGTCTGTGATGGAGGGAGGGAGGGAGGGAGCAAAGGGGGTTGTAGCGTTTTTTTTGTGTGTGTGTGTTTATACCACACATACCACATTATCTGATTTTCCAATGTATCACGTGTGTATTGGGAATTCTGCGAGTTGGTTGTGTGCGCGTGTGTAAAGCATTATTAGGAATGATAACCAACATATCACATCAAGTAAGATTCAAAGCACAAAAGTTCGAATACCCAAGTTAAAACAATATAATATTTCTATTTCCCAGTACCCCCCATCCCCTATCCATATATCCCTCATATACCCATTTCTCTCATTCTCTCATTTTCATAGTTTTTCGTTTCTAAATCATATATGTTCATATGCCAACACATAAAAATCTATAAACATGCAAGGGAGTCAAGTGAACCCGAGCCAAAAAAAGGAATGTGAGAAGTGTAAAATAGACAAAAGAAAAAGAAAAGAAAAAACGCCGTGCCCAATGCCGCTGTGTGCATGACAATGTCAAACAAAGTCGCTAAGCTTATGTAATAGCAAAGAGAGCGCAGATACAGAAGAGAGAGAAAAGCAACAGTACAGTAAGTAGCAGCAATCTGACCAAGAAAAGAAAAAAACAACAAGCATTGTAAACAAGGTACGATGCGATGATGCAACAGTGTCTAAAGAGGCAAAAGAAACTGAGTGTACCACCCACTTCTCACACACTTGTGTCTCTCCAACTCACATGACCTAGTCGTCGTTATCACGCGACATGCCAGCCTGGCTTCCCTCAAAGTTCCTCACCTTTTGCGCATGATTAAAGCTAATCATACTACGCATCGGGTTCTTGCGTGCAGCACTGACCATGCTGGGGGAAGGAGGATGTCGGGATGCGCGCACGCTGCCGGTTCCGTACTGGACCTCATCGAACAAGTGATCGTACTGTCCTTGGGTGAGGCTATCCTTGCGAGACTTGCCGGATGAGGATGAGGATGATGTCTTGACGGGGCGTACGGTGGAGACCTCGCTGGGTTCGGATGCGTGAGCAGCTTTGGACTTGGAGGACCGGGAGGAACGGTGGGGACGCAGAGACTCATCATCTTCAGCCGAGTCGGGGGTCCTGTGGGAGCGAGAGCGATGAGAGCGCCTGGAAGATTTGCTGATCGTGGACTCGTCGTCATCAGCATGCTTTTTGCTGCGGTGGGTGGTCGAAGACTCGGCGTTCTCGGTGTGCTTCCTGCTACGGCGGCTGACAGAGGTTTCGGCATCGTCATTCTCCTTGCTCTTGTGACGGTGGGATCGGTGTCTGCGGCGTGGACCATCGCCAATCTGCGAGATGCTGTCACTGGGTACCACAGTGTCGAGATCGTCTTCAGACATGTCGTCAAAGTCGAAATCATCAATAAAGTCCTCGTCTTCTTCTTCTACCACCTCTTGGGTCTTGGCCTTGTCACGTTTGAAGAGATTGCTAACAATTGAAGCGGCCTTGGATGGAACCTTGGGGGGCACCTTGGATTCAGCTGGTGGGGGAGAAGCCTCACGCTCCCTACGACTGCTGCCGTGCTTGCTATGCGAGGACTTTGCTTTTGATCTGCTCGTGTGATGCGAACGAACACTACCCGCAGCGCTTTGCATATCCTCATCATCGGCGACAAAGGACGAGATGAAGGAACTGGCCGCAGCACTTGGAGCTGCGCTGTATGCCTTAGAGACGACACTGTGAGACTTGTGTGGTCGCGGTGGCTTCAAAGACGAAGGTGTAGGCTCTGGTCTGGCTGCCGACACTGTGCTCCTTGCCTGCTCCCTTGCCTGCTCAAGCATCAACAAGTCGGGGCTAGTGCTGGCACGGTCAGAGGCCCTAAGCCTTGAGGGAGCGGCTGAGGGAGCACGAGAGTAGGCCGGCGCATACTCAATCTCAAGCGGCTTTGCATACTCGAGGGCGCGAGCCTGGGCAAGGGCACTTGGGGCACCAAACTGGGAAGGCGAGTAGTAGTCGGCGGGGGCAGCCTCGATTTGGCGGGGGACCGATGACCTTGGGATCTGAGAGGCGCGTGAATAGGTAGACCGCGCGTCGTCGTTGTCATCGTTGTTGCGGTGTACTGATGGAGCAGGTTTTGGCGGAGCGGTCGTCTCAGGTGCGGGCTGTGCGGGCTGCGCTGGCTGAGCTGGCGGTTCGGGTTGTGGGGTTTGCTGGGGTGGTTCAGGCTGCGCCGGGGTCTGAGCGAAAAGAGTTGCCGCTGTCTTGACCGCGCTTTTGGCATCGAGGAAAGCGTTGAATTCGGCCTCTTTCTTTGCGCTGTCACGCTCGCTCCGGGCGAATGCATAGGCAACAGCAGCTCCTGCAGCGGCTCCAAGAAGTGCACCAAAGAGTTGCTTGCCGGCACCTTCACCGGACTCGGATTTGGCGGCCTGCTGCTGCTGCTGCTGCTGCTGAGGGGGGGAAGACATGACGTCGTCTGCTGAGAAGCTTCGGACTACCGTGGGTGGTTTTGCAACAGCTGGCTCGGCCTGTGGTGGTGCGGTAGTAGTCTGTGCGGTCCTCGAGGCAGATGTGTAAGTGTTGCTGGTAGAGGAGCTCTCACGGTAGGAAGTGGAGGTGGAAGTGGTGGTGGTTGTGGTGACTGTTCTTGACCACGTGATGATTCTGCTGTGCTGGTAAACGGTGCCGTCTTCTGCAATGTCGGGCCCGTTGCGGTAAACGGCCTCGATGCTGTTTCCGTCAAAGTCTAGTACTGCAGCGTTGAAGTGGCCAGTCTCAGCGCATCGAGTGGCTGGGCTTCCGTTGGGGCGACCGCCAGCTTTCAATGCCGCGGTGTAGAAGTTGCGGACCGCGGTTGTGCTGGGAGCGGTGAAGGCAATGTGTGCGGCACCAGCCTTTACGCTATTCAGGAGTTAGTTGCGGTGAACTTAGTAGACATGGGCTGATGAATTGTGGTTCGTACCCAGGCGTTTCTTGGCAGAGGAAGAAGTCGGCATTGTGAATACCTAGCCCGATCTGGTGGCCAGACTCTCCAATGTAGCGGTAGCCCAGGGGCTGGAGTGCGGAGAGAAAGAAGGATGTCGAGGTTGGAAGATGGGCGACTGTGAGGCCTATGTGGGCGACGGGCATTGCTGGGGGAAGGTTGTGTGGATATGAGAGTATGGATGTACACAGTGGGATGTAGAGTAGTGAGGGAGAAGGTGGGGGTTCAGAGTTTGGATGGTTCAATGGCAATGTTTTGGGTGATGGCAAGGCAAGTCGAGCATCTGTACCGGGTCGTGGTACGAGGTGGAGGTTTATATCACAAGTGACGCGGTGCCGGAGCCGTGTGTGGATGCGTGGTGGAGGGAGTATAGCACAGCGTCCGGGTCCGGTTGGCTGGTTGAGCGGAAAAGGCAGTGAGTGGTACAGGGCACGCACAGCTGCAGGCGGGAATCAGGGAGGCCGCTGTCAACAAGTTGAGATGCTGCCACATGTCCTGCGTCTGCAGGCTAACAAATTTGTAAAGGTAAGCGATGCAGCAGTGGCCGGTATTGGCTGCTGACCACCGGCCCGCAACCGCGAGTGGTTTAGGATGGCCGCACGCTTCACTACGCCCATGACGCTGCGCTGCAAATGCTTCTCTTCCTCTCCTAGTCGCTTGTCGCGTGCGGTCGACTATTTGCCGTCTGCGGTCTGGACACACCACCGCTCGCCGCACTGGGCGCTATTTGCTATGGTCTGACGTCGTAGGAGACGAAACGGGGCGGGCTCTGCTGTCTACATCCAAGGCCCAGAACGGCAGCCCTGGTGAGGCGGTCACGGGGTTGTCCTCACCGCGCCCTGGGGGTGGCTGGTGGCTGTCGCTGGCATCAAGCTGCCTTGTAGTCGTTGCTTTTGGCCATGTTCGCTGACCATCGTGGAAGATCGGCGATGCGGCTCCCGGCCTCTCCTCACCCAGCCCGTCACTCTCCCGCCGCATGCGCGCCGACGAGCCATCCATGCCGCCCGCGCTAGCCCCCAAACAGGCTTAGCCCCCCAGACATGTCATCGAGGGGTCAACGGCTCTCAGTGCGAACATGACGTGAAGGCGTCAACTTTTCTTTTCATTCGCCAGCAGTTACATTGCTGACACTCCTGATCATCGTGCTCGCCATGTCCATCGCCATCTATCTATACTACACACGTACACGTCCTGACAAAAAGGTGCCGCGATTACCTACTCCAACCCAATAAACAACCCACCCACTCAAGCAGAGCCCAATATCCAGCCACACATAAGCCCACTGCCAGCACACCACTCGGCCGACTGCGCCACACTAGCTACACACAAACAAACAAAAAATAAGTTTAAAAACCAAAGAAAAAAACACGAGGTGCGGGGCAGGTTGAGCTGCCCTGCCGTCTTCCAAAGAAGACTGATGTTTGTGCGTTGAGCCAGAGTAGTTGTTTTGTTGTAAAAAAACCTCAGGCACCCGCCCAAAATCACATGCAGCAAGCGTCCCGGCTGTTGATGTTGTAATCTAAGCCCCGAACTGCTTCTGCCCCGTATCACTTTTTCCTAGTCCTGCGGTAGGCCGGTCTCCAATCCGACTCGTCGACCGGTTTTTTTCTTTGTTGCATATGGGCATGTTGGCGTGTTGTCCATGGATAGGTCCCTCCTTTTTGGCTGGCCACTCATCTAGAAGATATTCCACACGTCCTCGGCCGCATGGCAGAACTTACTGCACGCAACGCTGGCACTGAGGTTGAACTGACTAATCGCAATGCTGTCGTCCTTGATGTCGTCGGCAAAGTCGTCGTTGCCCTTGGCCATGGCACCAACAAACACGGCAATGCTCTCGCCCTTGTTGAGGCTTCCAATGTAGTCGCTCACTCGCACCACCTCAGAGTCAAAGCTGAGCGTTACCTTTCGGCAGTTTGGTGGTAGGTGGTCTGTAATCGGGTTCTTGATCACCTCAATGAGCTTCTCTTGCGACGTAGTCGATCGGATCTGATGTCTGTGAAGCAGCTGCACCATGAGACCAGCAAATCGCTTAAACGTACGCGGAATGCGCACGGTAGGGCTGACCCGGATGAGTACGTTCTTGGATGTGTGGATGTAGATCTGAAGCCTGCCTGCCTTGTTGATTGGCGAGTCAAGTAGGGTGAGGAGACACTGCGTCGCCATGTTAGCTGATTAGCACCATTAGCCTCCTCTTGTACGCACTTGGTGTGTAATATCTGGCCGAGCCTCGCTAATGTCGCGCCCCATTTTCCGCATTACGCCAATGTGGTCGTCACTGTTGAGCAGGTTGTATTTATCCTCGCGCGCACCGGGTCCCCGGCCATTTCCATGTGATGCCTTGTAGGTCTCGAGCGTGGCGCTGCAGAGCACGACAATCAGCCGTTGTGTGTCCTTGTCGTTGGTGGGGATGGGAGCATGTTGCTCTGCCACCAGTCTCGGCAGCTCTGGGGGAGGCATCGATTGTGTTCCTACGGGTAGTACGGCAATATTAGCCTTGCCCTTGGTTAAGAAGCAGCAGCAGCACGAGGAAGAGGGGTAAGAGCAATCGGGGAGCAAACTGTCGACGTACTTGCGCGCTTCTTTGCCCGGTCGGGTGAGCCACGCGAGGAAGGTCTTTCGACTGGCGATTTGGGGCTTTCAATCTTCATGGGAGCCATGTTGAATTTATATGTTGAAACAAGCAAGTTCTGCTGCTGTGGGCGTATGTTACTGGTGGCGGCGGAGTAACTGTGGGAATGCGCCAACGCGGTCAGGTAGGAAAATGGGTCCTTTTATCGAGGTGTCTACAGGTCAGCAGATGTGAAAGCGATTACACAAACCAAGTTGTTTGTTTTATACACGTATGTCAAATGCAGATGAGATGGAGATAGAGTTCATATAACCACGCGTTCTTTTCTAGCAGTCTGTTGGTGAGGAGAACCTTTTCTCGCACGCGGCCAATCACAGCCGAGCCGAGCCGGCGCTTACGTGAGGACCTTTACTAAGCCCAACACGTGCTAGAAGCAGCAAAACTGCTCGCATCACCTGCATCTTCGGGAACACCTTACTATAGCACGATAGTGTTCGGCTCGACTTACTGGACTTCGCTGAATTTCCCTGGACTTGAGTGTCCTCGACCGGACTTTGGATAGACCAACGTAAATGTGTTGCAACCTACATCATCTACCCACAATTCTCCGAGGGAACCTACTACTACTGTACTACCCGACTCGGAGTTTGGTTTCCCATTTATCCTACCAATTACGCGCAGCGTCGGCGACCGATGCCCTAGGCAGACTGTGAGCCTAAGGCGAGCTGTCATTCCTGCCCCGGGGACGTTCGGGTCGACGACGGCGGTTAAAGCAGGTCGGGTTTAGAGCATACTATCGGTAGTAACCGACGTGGTGCGGGAAACTCGGACTTGATGGGATCCACTGGCGTGGGCCTTCGATGCAGAAGCCCTGCTGTGGGCCGGCTCGCAGTAATTATGCTTGGGCTGGGCATTGCAAGCTTCTGCAACGAGAGCGTCTCACCATGGTCTCTTGGCCCGCCTTGAATTTGAAACATCCGCCATATCGCACAATCGCCTCACGTTGGGCATGTCGCCATACGCAAGGCGTATGGCTTCTGAGGTAAACATCATGCGAGCGGCCAAGATTTCCAAGAGGTCAGCTCATGGGCGAAACGACGTGGGTTTGGCTGACGCGCCGTTGCCTTGTGCCTGTCAGTGGAGATACATGAACGCTAGCTGTCGCACTCTCGCGATACTATCTCGCAGCTGCCCATCAAACATCACGTTCACTTATCTTTGATTCTCCATCACATCGCCGGCGATATCTTTTTATTACCTTCTCTTCACTGGCAGCCGGCTGTCCATATTCCCCGATTATAATCACGAGCTTTGCCGTTGTCCCTGCAAGCCCCCACGTCAGTCTAAGCCAAATCTGTCCGACACCAACAAAAAAGTCCCCGACAACTACTCCTCTCACAATGAGTTTCTCGTGGCTCGCACCAATTCTCACACCCACTGCGCTACGCTCAGTAGAAGCAGACGGCCGACCAGTCATTACACTGTTCCTTGTCATCTTCGGCCTCTCTGTTCTCGGCGCGATCATCTGGTATGTCCACTTTGTGACATCCAAAATGTACCCGAAGAAGAAGGAAGCGAAGAAGGGAAAGATGCTCGGCTTTATCAAGCGGTAGAGCGGACAAAGCAATCAGACAACAAAAAAAAGAAGAAGGGTCCGGTCTAAGCATCCCAAGCTTCGCTCTGATCGACCCTCCCCACACGTACATTTGTCATCCTCGTGGCTGCAGGGTCCCACGGCTACTACAGCGATTTTCATTTTCAAATACCCCCCCCTGGAGTGTCAACACGCGCATATCTCTCCGTCGAGTCTTTTTCTTTTTCAGCAGACATATCTTCCGTCATCTCCGACTACTTTTTCTCCGGTGCGACAAAATATCTTCCGACTGGCGTATAAAAACTGCGTTGCGTGTGTCAAAATACGAGTTGGATGCAGACAGTCAAGCAGGCATCAAGACTACGTTGTACCTTGTTGCAAAATGTCTTGTGATACTTTCAATATAATATATTTTTTTTCATGTTCTCAACATACTTTGGTTCCCATGGCACTACGTGAGGACAAAGAAATACAAATCCGGCTTGATACCTATCGCCCACTGTACATGTGCAAGTATTTCCCAAGTAATACAAAAAAGAGCATTGTCAACTCAGCATCCAGTCTCAAAACAAACATGTCATAACCTCTACAATCTCCACCCCCTTTCCCTCTACCGTTCAAAAAATCCCCAATCACCACCGGGCGCTTCGCGACGGCATCGGCGCAGACTTGGCGTTAGAGTTAGCGCAGCAATGGGGGGAGAAGCAAAGCAAAGCAAAAGCCAATTACTCGTTTCTATCCAGTCAAACCATATTTTGAACTGTTGACATTCCTGACATGTTACACTTGTATACATACTGGGGGGTTGGAAGCGAGTCACTCGAGAAGTTTTGCATGTGCATGTAAGATTAGGCTTTTGGTGGAGAAGGGGGGGGGGGGGCAAACGGTGGCGTATCGATGGTTTGTCCAAGGTCTGATTTCAAGCATGTAGATGGGTTTGTGAGGATTTGTAGCCGCGGGGAGAGAGAGAAAGGGGATGGCATCTTACGTTAGTAATGCTGGCGGGTGATTCAACGAGTGTGTAGTAGTGAACATAGCACAATTACCTATGCCTCAATCTTTCACTATCCAGTATCCGCGCAAGTAGTCCATGCTTCCTCACAGCAGCCACAATGCCAACACCGGTGTCAGAACAGGGTAAACACAATGATCCCATCAGCGCACGACCACGTTTCGCCAACCCGTTCGCTTGCATACATGCTAGGTCCAACGCAAACTCGAAGGAGCATACGCGCAGTTTTTTTTTCTAGCGCGGGCACACGGAATTGAGGGGTCTGGTGCAACGAAAGCAATGCCGTTAATGCCGTTTTTTTTCTGCTCCCCACCCCCCCCCGTCGAGTCGGAGAAAGGCTGGGAAAAAGAGCGGGCGTAACTAGTAGACGGATGTTGCAAAAACTGTGGCAGAGCAGGTGTGGCGGAAGGGCGCAAAAGAAAAAAGTGGAGAGTTTCGGGACCAAGGATTTCCGCAAGTAGACGGTTTCTTCATGCTTTGATGGGAGGGAGAGAGACCTGTCAGTGTTTTGGAGGTGCGTCTTTGGTTGTTCTCTTTCAATGCTCTACTGGTAGTTTGGTAGGAGTGGTGTTTGGGGGAGTTCCAAGACTGGAAATGTTTGGGTGGAGAAGAGAGGGGGGATATGCTGTTAGGTCGGATATAGTTGCTTGGAATTGTGAAGTCAAAAGGTAGTGCCGCAGTACGGCCGGTGAAACATGCAAAACATAGCGGATCGGCGTGTAGGAGTCGGGGTTTGGTGATGGTTGATGATGCCCGCTGTGCTGGGTGTGGGCCGTTGCAGACGTGGGTAGTATGTAATCGCATACGCCTGCTCGAACAAGTCCATGCTAGCCACAAGTACTTTGCGTAATGTATCGTCGAGTATGTGTAAGTAATGGACCGAGGCTATATTATGGAGTCGAGACGACTAGTCCCCGCTGTAAGAGCCAGATGGTGTTAGTAGGTGGCCTGGGGCATCCCGCCGCGATACGACGCTTCAGCCAAGGCATCCATCTCTTAACATGAGCTGTCATTGTAGCCAAATCGGACCATTCTGAGAGCCCACCAGAAAGCTTGTGTTTTCGTATAGATACATGTACAAGAGACTCGGGCCAGAAGCGTCGGAACTGATGGAGTCAAAGGGCTGGTGGTTATGCGTCGGCAGTTGAGGCTCGCCCGCTTGGCCGATCAGGGGCGCCACATCGAGCCGCCGGGCTCTAACGCTGTGTGTTTTAGCTTTTGGCCCCAAAACGCCTCTCAAACGTCCCCCTTCAGCCTTTTCCCATGCCAAAGACGAAGATTCATGGCCGCCCCGGTTTCAGACAACCCGCTTGGCATCTCCTGCACTCGAATCCGTCCATAGTCGCTCTCCAATTGGCTAGGCTGCCCGTTCGCGACGCCTGCGATATGCCAGCACCGTGCTACGTCGCAACAGAGGCCATTCAAAGTGGTTCGACTTCTGCTACCGTTTCGCCCTGTTGGTCCCAAAGGGCCCTGCGAATCCCCATTCATTGCCAGCGTCTGACTAACTGACTGAGACCCCATTACCCACTTGCTGCTGGCTCTGTCGACATGACCTGACCTACCCCATCCCCGTCGTTGCCGCTTTGTCCCTCTTTTTGCTACCAGCCGCCACACACTGCTGGCTTATAGACTTTTGTTTCCCCGACTCGCCCCTAGACTCACCCGACTTCATGCCGGTTCTTCCTTAGCCGCGTCATCCAACGCCTCTCTGCGACCTCTCTTCTCTTCTTTTCGTGCGGGCACTTTTAGTACGTAGTCGTGTTGTTGTTGTTGTCGCTGGCTGGACCTCGCAAAGACTAATGATATGCGCTTCCAGATTACTTAGACTCTCTTTGAATTTACAAATTCTCCACTCGGCCACATTCAGCAGGTCTGAAGCCCATCGGCATCCACCGACAGGCGCTCTACGGTTACTGCACTCTCGCTCCACATAGTAGTCATGTCCTTCACTACCAGTCTAACCGGCCGCGAGCGGTCAAGATGGCCGCCCCTTACCCGCATGCTCATGTCTGGCGAGATGTCAGAGGAAAGGGCGCGGGAGTTGACACGGAAAGAAAAGTTTGACGTCTGGATGGTCAACGAGGGTTACCGAAGATTGTGAGCGCTACTCTGCAAGCCGATTGGACAACTTGACTAATAACGATCAGCTTCGTCTTTACTTTTGCCATTCTCCACGTCATGGTCTTCGTCTTTGGTATGATGAACTACGGACTAAAGGTAGGCATTTCTGTTCTGGACTTCTGCATACTGCGCTCACACAACACTCTAGGACAACGTCATCGCAGTGAGACAAACCTTTGGTCTAACCTACCCCATCGCTCGTTCAGCAGCTCTGGTCCTCCACGTCGATGTCGCTTTTATCCTGTTCCCAGTATGCAGGAACCTAATTTCCATGGCTCGTCGTACGCCTCTGAACGACGTAATCCCCTTTGACAAGAACATCACCTTCCACAAGCTTGTTGCTTGGTCCATTGTCTTCTTCTCCTGGGTCCACACCATTGCCCATTGGAACAATCTTGCCCGGTTCTCGGCCGTCAACAATCTCGGATTCATGGGTTTCATCCTCGCCAACCTTGCTACTGGTCCCGGTTGGAGCGGTTATGTCATGTTGCTCTGTTTGATGGCCATTGCGCTCACGGCAGCGGAAAAGGCTCGTCGCGCAAACTTTGAGCGTTTCTGGTACATGCATCACCTCTTCATCGTCTTCTTCATCTTCTGGTCCATTCACGGAGCCTTTTGCATGATTCAGCCCGACTTTGCGCCTTTCTGCGACGGTATCGGTGTCTTTTGGGAGTACTGGATGTACGGTGGATTTGCGTACCTCGCTGAGCGTATCGCGCGTGAGGTCAGGGGACGACACAAGACGTACATTTCCAAGGTCATTCAGCACCCTAGCAACGTTTGCGAGGTTCAAATCAAGAAGGAGCATACCACGACCCGTGCTGGACAGTACATCTTCTTGTGCTGCCCTGAAATCTCCATCTGGCAATATCACCCCTTCACGCTTACTAGCGCCCCCGAGGAAGACTACATCTCCGTTCACATCCGTATGGTCGGTAACTTCACCAAAGCATTCGGACAAGCCCTTGGCTGCAGCACAGAGAAGAAGCCCGCTGGTGAAAAGGGTGAAAAAGGCGTCTCAAGCGAGGAGATTGCTCTGCGCCAGATTCTCCCCCGTGTCTACATTGACGGTCCTTTTGGTTCCGCCTCTGAGGATGTGTTTAAGTTCGAAGTCGCCGTCCTCTGTGGTGCCGGTATCGGTGTCACACCCTTCGCCTCCATCCTCAAGAGTATCTGGTACCGCATGAACTACCCCCAAGGCTCGCGCACACGCCTCCGAAAAGTATACTTCTTCTGGATTTGCAGAGATTTCGGTTCGTTCGAGTGGTTCCGATCGTTGCTGCTTGCCATTGAGGCTCAAGATGTTGATGATCACATTGAGATTCACACTGTAAGTTCTAATCCTCACTTCACAAGCTGTTCAAGATACTAATGAAGATCTAGTACCTCACCGCAAAGATCAAAGCAGACGACGCAACAAACATCATGATCAACGACGCAAACGCCGAACAAGACGCCATCACCGGTCTCCGTGCCCCCACAAACTTCGGTCGTCCAAACTGGGACATGATCTTCAAGTCCATCCGCAAAATCCACTCCCCCGCCGAGGCCGGTGTCTTCTTCTGCGGTCCCAAGGGTCTCGGTTCCACCCTCCACGTCAAGTGCAACATGTACTCCGAGCCTGGCTTCAGTTTCGTATGGGGTAAGGAGAACTTCTAAGTCTTCGTGTACCACAAACTCGCATCCAAGGAAGAGACGATTTTGGGATGGAAGGCAGTATGTGTTGGAGGAGGAGGAGGAGGGAGAAAAGAGCAAAGTGGATTCGAGATACCATAACCCTTTATTTTTGCCTTTTTTATTTACGCGTTAAACACCTTTGGGAAGCGAATTTCTTGCAACCTTTATCTTATTATCCGTTGTATATATAGTAATTCGCTCATCTGGCATCACTATCACCCCCTTATTTCCCTGTTGTCGTCCGCTTTTTTTTTTGTTTTGTTCTTTTGTCATGTTTAAAGACTTCACTCGCAGCTGCAAGTCAGCTTTGCGAATCAAATGTTCATTTAATGACCCCATCCTTAGCAAAAACCAAAAAATGGACATATAGACATTCATACCTACTATTCACATGCATAGTTTAGAGTACATTAATCATGCACCATCTACATAGATCCTTCTAGTTAAAAACGAAAAAGGGGCAATAAATAGACTGTATTGATATTGAAGCCTCGCTATAAGATATTATACCTACGAGATCTATATCAAAACAGCCCTTTCATTATACGCGCCGAGGACCCGAGCCACACGCCCCCCCCCCCCCCCCCCCCCCCCCTCGTCGCCACTGCAACAGAAAAACAATTCCTAGGCATCTCATTCCCCTTATATCAGGACGCGCCTGGGGCACGAATCACGCCACAAGGCTCGCCGTTCATGCGGCGCTGAGTATGCCAAGACACACTTCGAAACAGCGTACGCCGCAACTTTTTTCTGCCCTTTCCCTCGCTACTTACTCTCGAGGTGGGCACTAAGATGGCGGGTATTCCCGGGGGGAAAACTATGGTACCTTACATACGAGCCTCCCCCTTGTCTCCCTAACTCCCCTACCCTTCCCCTGCCCGACCCTCACCGTCTCCATTTTTTCTCTTCCCCCTACCGACACCGACACCCCCGCCCCGACGTCCTTCTCAAACCAGCGTTTCCAAGCCCGAAGCTACTGAGTCTCTTTTCTTTCGTTACTGCGAACAAGGGGGTGGGTGCTAGAAGGGGAATAAAGTGGGGCTCTAAACGCGGACGGTGTGACGCAAAGGAACGATGGTCAAGCTTTCTGTGTCTCGGGAGCCAAGAGGCTTGGGAGCAGGTCCATGGGATATTTGCATTGGGATGTTTGGGGAATGTTCGATGTCATATCGGTTGCTTTTTGACAAGGGAGTGGGACTCCGGGGGGCTTGGTGGTGGGTATTGCTCGTTTAGAAGAAGAGGAGGGGGCTTCACAAGGATTACTGCATTTTGAGTGCCTGGAACTAGAGTGGGGTTTTCCAGCCTGATGCTTTCCAACTGGTGATGTCTATGAGGCCGGTGAGTTCTTTGACTCCGGGCTGGATTCCTTGGCCGACGGTTTTGTCGTGGGCTCCTATCACCCAGACGTTGTCTTTTCGTGAGAATTCCCTTGTGCGGAGCATGGTGTTGACTGCTTGCTCGGGATCCACGTGCATGCAGCCTTTTGAATAAGGCGGGCGAGCAGTGCGGTTTGGATCTTGGAGGACGTTGACGTGGTGGAAGCAGTCGCCGCCCATGAGTACAAACGAACTTTCCTCGTCCCCAGAGCCAGAAGTTGTTCTCACTAGCATCATCTGGTGCCCTGGTGAATGTCCCGGTGCATCGACAATGTACGCTGCTCCATCGCCAAAAACATCGTACGCTCGCTCAAAAGCACCCAGACGTATCCACTCTGGTTTCTTTAAATCAACAGCAGCATACTTTCCTTCTTTCATTCCTTGCACAACCTGGCCTGCTCTCTTGTCTCCGGTATCTCGGAGTAGGTCATCAGGTATATAGCACTCTACAACCTTTCTGCTCCCATCCACAGGCAGCGTATCACTTAGCGTCGGTGCCCTCTCCTGAGCGGGATAACCCGGACGTGCATATGTACAACACGTAGGTCCAACCCACAACTCTGCGCCTTCGAACCCGCCTTTTGCACCGTCACCAATGTGATCGAAATGCATATGCGAGAAGATAACAGCCTTGACTTTTTCTGGTTGCTGCTCAGATGAACCATGTTCTCTGAGAATATCCTCGGGAGACTTGGGCTCGCATTTGAAGACTGGAAGTACAGTTTCCTTAATGAGTGGGGGTTGATTTTCAAGGTCTGGCCGTATGCCGAGGTCGAACATGTACTTTGTTCCAGATGCTATATGCTCAATCAGGAAGACATAATCCGGAGCATAATATGTTTTTCGCTCCTCTTTTGATACTTCGGATCCCGAGGGGTCATTGGGCTTGTCCGAGTCCGGAAGCAGGACTAGGTCGTAGGGAATGTAGAGGCCGCCGGCTTGGATAAGGTGGACTTTACATGTTGCGTCTGAGTGGGGTATGGGGTGCCATGTGATTTTCGGATATGTCCCTGCCATTGTGGTAGTTTGGAGTTGTGAAGAATCTGGAAATTGATGCTTGCTATGTGGTGTGGTTTTGGTCTTTGATAAGATGAGTGTAGTAGGCTCGATCAATAAGCTCATGTACTACTGCAGGCAAGTTTATGACGTCACATGTATCTTACAGCAACTTTGATAAAGATAGTGCGAGCTTACGTTGGAACTACATTGTGATCCTTGAACCCGCAGTTGGAATATTACCAACATAGTCCCTGAATATACAATGCACGTTCTGCTACCCATGTGGGTACATGTTGTCGCTCCTGCATGTTCGTACCACACTTTTCGTATTCCAAAAGCAGCAACTTACCTCTTCGATCTGCCTATTAGTCACTCAATGCTGGCCGGATGACTTTCCGCACGTCTCATTCTAATAGATTGGAAGAAGAGTGGGTGGATGAGAAGACTAGTCTGACGCGCGAGCGACGCACAGCCATGAGCCTTTTCCTTTTCTCATTGCCCTTTATCTCACCCTGCATTGATTGATTTCTTACAGGAAATTAGTGCAGAAAAACCTACGAGAATGCGATGATTTATGGATCCAGCAAGATGATCATGGACTTCGTGATCTCTGTTCTGTGAACCTTAAATTATTCATTATATGTGTGTAGTTACTCAGTGATAAAATATAGCCACATGTAAGCAACCCAGATAACCCACAAGTAGATCTTACTCTGGGTATCTAGTTACACTAAACTATCCTTGGGATAATCACCACCCCACAGCTCTATACGCCGATATTTCGTACATCACTTCTTCTTCCCCTTGGAAGGCATAAAGCGCTCAAGATTCTCTTCCAGATAGCCGTTTTCAGCTAGCATCTCCAGCCATTTTTTGATGACTGGACCGGAATCATAGCGCCGTTGTGTAGCCTTTACGTCTTCTTCTGCCTCATTCTGCATCTCCATCATAATTTGTGTACCGTCATCGTTGGCTTGAATAACTAGTTGCTGACGCCGTGCAAGAACTTGCTGCGTGTCTTCATTGTCAATGGCCTCCTTGAGTGCCTCAGGCATAGGATTATCAGCGAGATACGACTCAAGACCAAGCATGCAAGGGCTGGGTGTTTGCTCAGCTGCACTGACGAGGTGTCTCCAGTCTTGTGATGTTGACTGGGAGAGGTGGTCGAGGCGTGCTTCGACATGTGCCAGAGTGTTGATCGTAAGACTGGCACGCTTGCGTAAGGGTATTAGAGGGGATTGTGTCAGCGCTATAACACCATAGTCGTCGTCACCTGCTGCCATAAGGGCGGCAATTGTGTCCGAAACTGACTCTAGCCACGTCTCTCCTTGTTCTGGCTTGAAGGAACCCACACATGTTGGGTACTTGTCGAAGCCATCTAGCTTCCAGACTTCATTACCAACAGGAACGAAAGCAATGTAGTGGTGTGCATTATCCTCGACTCTCTCCTCACTATCGTCTGTAGCTACCGAGTCGGCAGAAGCTCGCCGTGACTTTGTCCCTCTCTTTCTTGGCTTATTCCTTTCAACCAGTTGTGTTTCGAGACGCCTGGCACGCTTGACTTTGTGACTGAGATGCTTGTCGCCTTCTAGGATATCCATCTTCTTGGCAAAAGAATTGTGAATTCTCTTGACAAAATCAAAACTTGCAAATGCTTCGCCGCGCTGATACGGCGTGAAATCTTTGGTGAATTCTTTGAATTGCTGTAGATGCTCCCCAATAGAAACCTCTGTGGTCTGGTTCATGAGAATATTTATCATGGCCAGCGTTGCACAACTGTCCTGGGCCGGTAATTGGTTGGCAAACCAAATTCTATCGGAGCACTCGTTTTGTTGATTCTCGTTACCAAACTGACGGTAGTGGAATAGCAAAATGAAACCATAGATTGGTTGGGGAATATTTTCGCGGATGAATTGCTGGTCCATGCTGAAGACTTCGCGAACGGTCACGCCTTCAACGCCCATTTCGCGGAGGATGACGGAGAAACACGCGGGCTCGCTTTCGATTTCACAGAAGCCTTGCCAGGTCTCTTTGTCAAAGGCAGTGGCGGGCATGTCTGGAGGGCTTGGAAAGACCGGCTTAATTGCGAGGCCATCCTCCGGCGCTGAGGGTGATGGCGAGGCTTTGGATCTCTTGCTGTCGGGCTCGGAATTTGACGGCTCAGGCGGACTTCGCTTCCTGGCATTGGGTGAAGCTGCTTTGGAAGGCTTCACCAAAGCTTCGGGGTCTGCGGAAATTTGAGGTGTTGACGCGCCACTCTCCTCTTGCATGATTTTAGAATCAGTGACGTTCACTGCATTTGCTGAATCGTTGCCGGGTATCGCTTGCTCCTGAGCATGGCCTTGGGTTGTTGCTAAGACATCATGGCCATTTGTCGGCTGACGGCAATGTAACTGCGCCATGGCGAGCGGTTCGAGTGAGAAAGCTTGTGAGTGAGATGAAAATGTGTTGTATCTTGGGTCAGAGTAGACGAGGCTCACGTGTACGCGTGGAGATTGGGTGGGTGGAGAGAAGGAAAGTAGAAGAGCATGGCGACAGGATCCGCGGCTTACACAAAACTCTACTCGACAGCTTGTGGCGTATTACAACAATAATAAGCGATGAATGAATGTACCGCTAGATAGTGAATGTGGAGTAACACAACAAGAGCACATAGGCAATGATGATGCTAGACAGATGGCACGTGACCGACAGCTCGGGGTTCCACAGCTCTGATTGGCTGACCAGGACAGCGCAGTCCGCATCATCCTTGTCGCGCCTGTCGCGTAGATGTCAAGTAAATGTTTTGTTTGCCAGTCTCACGTCGCCTAGGGAGAGCAACCGTCGACAAGCACCCCAACTCCGCAAAGAATACCGGCCGATTCCATCTCCGCCGTCGCATTTTCCGGCCCATGAACACGACATCGGTCAAGACTCTACTCCTGGTGCGATGAACGGCACACCAGCCCGGCGAGGCGTGGGCGGCTTCCCACAGACACCACACAACAACGCCAACGCCAACAGGTCTCCCGGCCTGCAAAGCCCAGAAGCATCCTCTCCGCGGCCAAACATTCGATCGCCGCTTCCCGATCTCCCAAAAGCCCCTCCGCAGCCGACCTCAGGGCCCCTCATACCCTCGGACATTCTCGATCCTGCCCAGCAGCGCTTTTATGTCTTCGCTGTCTATATCGCCCTATGGGCATACCGGTCATACGACTTCTATACGTTAGCGCTCGAGGACGATGAGTCGCTGTGGTTGTGTCTGAAATGGTGCTTCTTTGACGTGCTATTCATGTTCGGCGTACCGCTGCTCGAGATTCCCTGGCTGGAATGGGGCAATGGTGCTGCTTTTCTCCTATTCGTAATGCATGCCGGAATCGACGTCATGCTCATGTTCAGAATTGGTATACCCGTACAAGCTTGGTTCATGGGATTGATTGGTTTCCTGTGGGATAGCGAACTGGCCATTAGCGAACGGAGCGTCAAGCCTGGTGCAATCATACACAATGCCTCCCTAATTCTCGGAAAGCAGATTGTCAACATCTTGCCCGAAGGATCTGCCATCCTGAACCCGGAAAGACAGTCTTTCTGTCTCAGCTCAACCATCTCGCAACTCGACATTCCTATCAGGATTAACCAGACCGAGCCTCACGAAATGGAACTCCTGCGCATTGACATCGATACCAACATGAACGAGACTATCACAGTCAAGAAGAGTGAGCTGAAGGGAATGATGAAAAAGGCAAGAAAGGCGGTCAAGAACGCCAACCCCGATGACCCGCTCACATTGACCTACACCATCAAGAAGCCAGGCGTATATCTTTTGAAGAAGGTTACGGATCAGTCGAAGCTCCAGGTGCGACCGCGCTCAACCAACGCTGTGGTGACTACCTGCCCACAAGCTCGAGTCAAACCGACTGGTAACAACAGATGCCGAAGCGATCTATCCAATGTTTCGCTGGAAGTCGAGGGCACTCCGCCGCTTAGCGTCAAGTACCGCCTGACAGTAAACGGGAAACCTCGAGGTGGATCCCAGTTTCAGAACTTGCAGCCAGAGGACGTTATCTCGCCTCTGTCCAGGCACACATCACAAGCATTGGTAAAGAATGGACGCGAAGACATTTCCTGGGCTCGCTCGCAAAAAGTTCTGGTACCTTTGAATGAAACCCTTACGAACAGCGGTTCGTGGGAGTACGAGATTGAAGAGGTACAGGATGGATTGGGCAATTTCGTCAGCTACGTGAACGTCGATGACGAGGATAGACCGAAACCCAAGGTTGCCGGTATTCGTCAAATGTTCGAGGTTCACGAGCGACCTACGGCCTTCCTCAAGGGATGTAGCCCGCAAAACCCTCTCCGCGTGCCCAAGGGTAACGCCGCCCGCCTACCAGTCCATTACGCTTCAACCGGCAAGAATCCCATTGACACTGCGCACACGGTCGAGTATCTTTTCACACCCCAGGAGAACATCATCGCCGACGGTTATCATAGCCCGGATGCCGTCCTACAGAAGCAAGTCATGCGAAAGGGAGAACAGCCCACCATCTCGGCAGCAGGTCTCTACACGATCAAGTCTGTAGCATCCGAGTTCTGCGATGGTGAAGTCTTTGAGCCTACCTCGTGTCTGCTCCAAAACCCACCTGAGCCGGATATGACATTGGACAGCGAAGACATTATCGACAAGTGCGCTGGTAACCCAATTGGTCTCCGTGTTGGTCTCGATTTCGTAGGAAGCCCACCTTTCACACTCACCTACTACGAAAAGAAGGACAATGGAAGAGAGATCAGAAAGACACCTTTGCAAATTTCCAGTCTTCGCAGCACAATCGATCTCACCCCGCAAGATGCTGGTCACTACGAATACATCTTTAAGACTATTAGCGACTCTGTCTACCCGGAGAGGCCCCTCAACAACATTAGACTTCAGCAAGATGTGAAGCCATCTGCACAAGCACACTTTATTGAGAGCAGAAGGCCCAAACAGGCTTGTATCGATGATATTGCGGAGTTCGACGTTGGGTTCGTTGGAGAGGCACCCTGGAAACTGGAATACGAGATTGTTCACAACGGCAAGCGTACAAGGCGCTCTATCGAAACCGAAAACGCACACTACACTATTCGAACCGACAAGCTTAGCAGCGGTGGAGAGTACGTTGTGGCATTGACCAGTGTTACCGATAAAGCCAAATGCAAAGAAGTTCTCAAGGAAGAAGCTAGGGTTAATGTACGACATGAGCGACCCAAGGCTTACTTCGGTCACATTGAGGGCAAGCAGTCGGTACTGGCACTGGAAAGTCGGCAGGTTGGATTACCACTTCGCTTTACTGGAAACGGTCCTTGGTCGCTCAAGTACGAGAACTTGAAGACCAAGGAAGTCAAACGAGAGTCTTTCCAGAACCCCAACTCGTGGCTTGATGTCAAGACGGATGGCACATATCAACTTATTTCAGTCAGGGACTCTATCTGTCCAGGTCTGATTGATGAGTCGGCGGATCAATTCCATGTTTCTTGGGTGGCTCGACCCTCGCTCAGCGTTCCCGAAAAGAGCGCCATTCTTGATGGAACCAAATACATCAAAGAGCCCGTTTGTGAAGGCGATGAGGATGCATTTGACGTCTCCCTGACTGGTGAGTACTCTGCTCTACCATTGACTATCATCATACTGACTATATTATAGGTAACCCTCCCTTTGACATTTCTTACCGGCAGGAGTACAAGGACAAGAAGGGCAAGACAGCCTCCGTTAGTGAGAAGGATCTTCACACTGCAGGTGGCTTCGCTTCTATACGATCGGAAACCTCCAAGGCTGGTACTTATGAGTACACTTTCTTGAAGCTTGCCGACTCTCGCTATGACCATTCGAAGAAGCATTTCTCCCCCGTCACTATCCAGCAAACCGTCCACTCACGACCGAGTGCGCGCTTCGACAAGCCTGGAAAGACGTACAGTTACTGCTCCCGAGAATCAGAGGGAGAAGAGGTCATCCCCATCACTTTGGAGGGCGTCGCACCCTTCTACCTCGAGGTTGAGATCAAGCACCAGGGTACACCCAAACCGGAGATCAGCATTCACAAGAACATTCCTACGAACAAGTACGATCTCAAGATTGAGCACCGTAAGATGCATCTAGGCCACTCGTCCATCTCTATCCGCAAGGTTCGCGACTCGCGCGGATGTACCCTCAAGCCCCCACCAGGCGGTCCCCGTGTCCAGATCAGCGTGCACGATGCCCCGACGGCCACACCTCTGGAAGACCGCCAGGATTTCTGCGTCGGCGAGCGCCTCTCGTTCGCGCTTGGTGGCCAATCCCCCTTTACAGTCTTCTACACATTCGAGAAGCAAGAACGAAAGGCATCCAACCCAGGCACCACCTTCCGCCGTCTGGCCGAGCTTCCCGGAACCTTCACTATCACCGGTCTCCGCGACTCCGCGTCAGAATGTCTCGCCAGTCTGGACCTCACCAAGACCATCCACCCCATCCCCTCTGTGCGCCTCTCGGGCGGCCAAGTCACCGAAGTCGACATCCACGAGGGCGGCGGCACCGATCTCGAATTCCAGTTCTGGGGTACCCCACCCTTTGAATTCACTTATACCCGCAGTACCAATGCCAACAAAGGAAGAAAGAGCAAGGTGCTAGAGATTCGGACGGAAGTTAGCCACGAAATGACAATGAGTATCCCTGTTCAGGAAGAGGGTACGTATGAGGTTGTTTCGATTAAGGATCGCTGGTGTAGTTTTGCCAGACCGGGCGAGGGCGTTGATGGAAAGAGTGGGGGACAGAAGATGTTGACGTATTGAGAAGTCAAGTGAAGGACATGAATGGGGTTGCGGAGAGATGGGGAATGAACTTTTTTTTTGCATTTATGGGCGTTTGGAAAGTTTGAGCTCTTTTCGTGTGGAAGCGTCTTATGTCTTTTTTTTTCATTTGTCTGATTGATTGGTTGATTGATTGACTGATTACTTGTGTGCGAAACATATATTGCAGAGGTGAAGAACTGTGTTCGTTTGGCCTATGCAAAGATTAAAGAGGGGGTAAGCTCGTTAATACCAAGAATCAGAGTTTTTTTTCAATATCATTCAAATCAACAGCATGGAAGATACAGATGTGTTTGTGTATGCGTAGTTACGTGTGAATTGAGAATTTCCATGGGGGTGTAAAAGTTCGGTGGTATCACTACAATTTCCTCCATTCCTTTTTCCAATTCCTCTTCCCCCTTGTATTCAAATCAAAAACCCCCCTTAGAATTCTCGTTTCAACAGTTAGCTGTACTACGAACTAACGACTTGGCTCCGACTCGCGGTCTGATCCCTCAAAAAGGCCTCTACATCCTTGTTGCTCGTAGCATCAATCTGACGATCGATTTCTTTTTCCTCGGGAGTCTTTTCTCGGGCCGGCTCCGCAGGCTTATCTTGCTCCTTGCCGTTGACGACGCTGGCTACGACTGAGGCAGCCGAAGTGGCGGTGGAAGTGACTACGGCGGAGGCTGATGCGGCGGCGGATTTAGCTTGGTCTAGGTAACTGGGGGCCGCGGGTGGTTGTGGATCGGGGAGGGGTACCTCTTTGGGAGCCTGGCCAATGGTGCGGGTTTCGACGCTGACGCTCTTGTCACCGTGGCCATGGTCGATGGTTGCGGCGTCGGGGGTACCCTCTGCCAATTGTCCCGAGGCGTGCGTGTGGCTTTGTTGCTCAAAGCGAGGTTCTGAGGTGCCGGAGCGGATGGGCAGGGTTGTGGTGGTGGGTGAAGTGGTTGTGGTTGGACTTTCGGGTTCTGAAGGTGGGGTGTCTACGTCTGGCACATCGCTATCTGGGGGGTGGGTAGCTGTTCCCGTTGTTGTGAGGGGATCTCCAATCTCCGCTACAGGTGTAGGTGGAATCACATCGCCTTGTCTGTAGCCCACGGGGTTAGGGATGGTGAAGATGAGCTCGTGTCTCTGTGCGCCGCCCTCAGTGCCAACGCCCCAAGCCTCCATTGCTCCGTCTTTTCCATCTTCCCACTTTAGTGGTCCAATTGGGAACGTCTTACGTCCATTCTGTATGTTTGGCTTCTCCCACTTCATTTGCGCCTCAATGGTCGGTTCCAGGTTGGGCAATTGGCCCCACTCAAAGTCGAGGCCGCCGCCGTACTTCTTAGGAATGTTGTCGTGGTCGATATATTGGGATAGTGTGGAGTATACATTCGACGGGGAAAGGATGAAGATTTTGGATACCGTGATGGGATCAAACCATCGCTTGACCCAGCCCCAGACGGTGGGGAAGAAGCTAGGCGCGCCAACAATCTAATAGTCTGTCAGTCTTGCTTGAGTGATCGGGTATACATTTGTGTACACATACAAATATCCTGTCGAGTGTCTCTGGGTAATGTGCTGTGGCTAGGACGGAAGCGTCCTGCATGTGTCCTTTGAGATTCCAAAACTGCTTCAGACCAACATTACTGATATCCACAATGTTGTTACTCTGCGAAATGGGAGTCTCCGGGTAGGCGCGAGGCACCATGGAGCACAATGGTGAGTAGAACCTTGTAAGGGATTCATAGAGGGCGAAGAGGCGCAGATTCTTGGTTGGAACGTTGGGAAGGGTGGTCTTTGACTTTGCGAGTAGCTTTTCGTATGCAGAGATATTCTTGGAATTGAGCGGGGCGACTTCGAAGAGGAAGAGGGGAATGCCGCGCTTGTCACGTCGGCCAAGCCATTGCGGATACTGGGTGAGCTTGTCAGAGAGGTGAGCATTTGGTGGGTCTGGGGATCGGTACCAGACGACGTGTCTGCTCGTACTCCTCAACATCAATGGTGTTGAAGATCTCGCTCAGCTTGTTCTCCTTGCGCCAATCTTCAGTGTCCTTGAACTGCTTGAAGGCTTCTTGGGGAACAAAACGACGTGCGCGCAAGTAGCGCCTGTTCCTGGTCAGCGCCCCACTAATCTTGTCGCGATTTACTAGAGTTTTGCACGCACAGTAAAGTCTCGTCGTCATGGCTTGCATGTTTCTGCCCGACTGCAGGCGTGTAGTAGCCAGCCTTCTCGCAGATGGCCTTGAACTCGACAAGCTGGGACTGTTGATTCTCCGAAAGATGGGACAAATGGCCGGCAGGGTATTGCATCGACTCAACTCTGCTTAGCTCGGCCATGGTGAAGGATGAAGAAGCAGGGTGGAATTAAAGGAATACAGGAGAGTCGGGAGGGGGAAGAGGGGAGCAGTAAGATGAGATGCGCGCTTCTAGGGTGTCATGTTGTTTAATGCAGTGCGGCGGTGCGTCAAAAGCAGTGACATCAACTGTGGCTACGGTACATAGTACACCGGTCGGGCCTCTCGGAACGCGGGAATCGGAACCCATCGCGCGCCCTGCCGGACTAAACGTGGACGACCTTTGTGCCGTTTCCTACCAAGTACTAATACCGCGAGTTGTTGTGCTTGTGCTTCAAGTATGACAGCTGTGTCCGGATCGTGCGTCGGCAGCATTGTTCGCAAAGTTGTCTTGCAGGCGTGGGGCTTTCGTTTGGGTACGAATCCAGCCAGGCCCAACTGGTTGTGACCACTGATCATTCGCCTGTCAGCAACCATCATCAAGATTTTTGATTGTTCATCGCACCGAACGAGTCTAGTCTGCGGATGTCAAGGCTCAGATGTCAGACAAGGTGCGGATGTAAGTATGGCGCTATTTCCGTCCTCCGCCTCCGCCTCCGTACGAAACATTCGTCTTGGCCCCAGCACATATACCGACAGGCACACTACTACTAACTTCACACTACTCCCGTCAGTTCTGTACCGCGGAAGGGAATGCTAGAACAGTGAAGTGCAGTATCGCAACATGGCTGCCGAGGCTGGTTGATAAGCGATAAGCGAAGTCAGTATGCGATGCCATCATCGTCGCCGCCCCAGCCATGCCTCAACATTGACGCAATCCGGCGCGAAGACTTGATCACCACTTGCCGCCGTCGCCCCAAGCCCGTCACTAATATCGCATGGCCGCCAGATTCTCATCTCTCACGCTTTCATAGCCCTCTGCCTGCGCGCCTGCGCTGACTTGATTTACCCCGCGGCTCATCATGGCGCGTCCCTGCTTCACTAATCTGCCGACGGAGATTCTCGAGGCCATATTCCTGAATCTGGATCCTCACTCTCTCGTCGCTGTATCGCAGACGAACAGGCTCATCAAGCGGCTCACAACCGATGCGCCCATCATCTGGCGTCACCTTTGCAAGACGCAGTTCAAAACATGGGATTCTCGCCACAACATCGCCGCAAAGTTTGCCGCGCCCTTGTCCGACGTAGATTGGCGCGCCTTGTACATGACTAAACACACAATTAACCGCCGTACAAGAGAACTGCTCAATCACATCATCGCCACTCAGCACGGGCGCATCCGCTGCATCAACGACATTGCAGACTATGGGTACGACGCAAAAGAGACACTGCTCAAAGAATGCGCCTGTCCAGACGATGCCGAAGATGTGCTGGCAAGAAGATACTATGCGAATGCCGTCCTGGAGCGCATACATCGTGAAGTCGCCATCAAGGTATGGACTAGTCTGCATGATGGAAATGACGTACCCATCGAGAGAGCTCTAGGCGCATACGATGTGTTTGCCAGAGTTGGTGAAGAGGTTGATGTTGATGTCGTCGCGAACGACATCGGCGAACTAGCTGACGGCCTGCTGCAAGAATACCCAAACTTCCGTGACTGGAGTCCACGCGACAAGGCTTATACCCTAGCCTCATTCCTTCGGGATCGCGGATTCAACGGTGTTCCCGATGCTTCATACCGTGCGCTGCGGAACTCGTTCATCGGATTCGTACTGCGCTCGGCTGCCCATGAGTCACTTCCTCTGATCTCTGTAGCCATATACTGTGCGATAGCCCGACGCGTTGGCCTCGATGCGCGGCCCTGTGGCTTCCTCTTTCATGTCTACACTCTTGTGTACGCACCCAAGAACTATGATCTTAATGGAAAGTACAAGCCTACCAGCTCCAGTGAACGCGAATACATGTACCTGGATCCTTTCCGCTCTACGTCAGAAGTGCGACAGGGCGACTTGCAGCGCACACTACGGAACATGGGTGTCCCGAGTAGCGAACATCAAAGTTTCCTGAGCGATACTAACACAAGAGAAATGGTTCTGCGTACAGCACGCAACATCATGAACTCTGTGCAAATGATTCGCGAAACCGAGGCCGGAATGGGTACCATCCAATCGTCATGGATAAACGCCAATCCCGACATGGACAATGCCTTTTACGCAACCATATGGGCTATGTTGCTCCTTGGACCAAATGATGACACCTCCAATATAGGACACACCACCATTCGGCGCCGCCAGTACCTGCCTTATCTGCTCGAGCACTTCCAGATGCATTACCCGTGGGATGTTACCCTGCTATCACGCTACGTTATCCCCATGTTCTACAATCAACTCGAAGGGCACCGGTTATTGTCCTTTGTGCAGAACATGCATCAAATGGATGCCATACGCAAACCCAGAGTCACCCGTTCCGAACGTACGCGGAACGTTTCCTTCAAAGTCGGCCAGCTGTTTCAACACAAGCGGTATGGTTACGAGGGCGTCATTACCGGATGGGATGTGGTGTGTGACGCAAACGAAGACTGGATTCAGAACACGCGCGTTGATTCCCTGCCAAATGGTAGGAACCAGGCTTTCTATCACGTCCTGTAAGACTTGCTCGGCTTTTCTTCGATTTTGGGAACTCTGCTGACCAAGATGTAGTGTCTGCGACAAGTCAGTTCGCTACGTTGCCGCTGAGAACATTCAACCCGTCAGTGAAGACACATATCCTTCAGAAGCGTTGCTGAAGCTCGCTGGACGACACTTCAAACGCTGGGATGATGAGCACCACTGCTTTGTAAGTAACGTACGTGATGAATATCCTCACGACTAGGAAAGCCGGAGCTTGAATCTGTCTTTGTGTACTATTAGCTTTGGACTGGTGGACCTACTAAACTTGACGTTCAGAAGGCGATTGATCAGACTGTAAGATAATGTTGACTACGTGTTATGCGTGCTTTTAAGTTCGATACTCCCCTCAAGGCAACGGTGTTTGCGGTTTGGATTAATTCTTGTTTTGCTATAAATACCATGTATTTTATTGTTCATCCTGAGACAGAGTAAGCGAGAAGGAATCAGATAGTTTTCGTCTAGAAGATGAAACTGATAACAAATACCCCGAAAAAACAATGCTTATCCGTTCTCGAACAAAAGTGACATGAAACAAGCAGTTGCGAATGTAACAGTAATCTAGCTAGCAACTTGGTAAATACCCGAGTTCCTAATCTTGCTCAAACTATGTAGCAATGCTGCCCAAATGTCCATCATTCTACTCGTGCGAACTCCCAGAAAGAAATATGCAAAAAGAGAGACTGAAGCACGTCCAGACTAGACCTCTCACATACCAAATGCACCTCTGACCTCACTATTCAAAATCCAATAGTACAAAACACTAAACAACGCGTCACTAGTATTACCCGCTGAAGAAAAACCCCCGACACCAAAACCCATCCATCCATCTCGATCTCTATCCCTCGTTCCAGACTCCGACCTCGACTTCGATCTCGACCTCCTGTCCAAACCCTGCATAATCTTCACCCTTCAGCTCCCTCCAGAACAACCCCCAATATCCGCCAACCCAAACATCACCATTCATCTAACCCAACCAACCAATCACATCCCCTCGATCACCCAAACCCCACCCCACCCC